GTGAAAAGGAGGGGTGTTAAATGTTTAAAAATATATAAATTTATAAATACAAAAATAATAGTAGATTTAAAATATGATGATTAAATAGAATTGTCATATATAGTGTAAATGTTATTACGTAAAAGTACTCAAACCAATTTCGTATATTTGGTTTATTTTTTAAAAAAGGTATATGTATTTTTTTTAAAGTTGAAAGAGTAATGGAGATAATGTCCCCAAATATTGGAGTTTGGAAAAAGATCAAAAGTGGGTTTTGAGCCTAAATTAGATGTCCGAAAGAAAATATTATATAATTTTTGATCTGGTAAATTTGTAAAAAAATTGTTATACAAGTATGATATCTTAAGGTAAATTTTTTTAAAATACTTTTTTTTTGCTTAAACTAATAAAATTGTCAATAGAATTATTTTAAAAAAATGGGGCGCATTAAGTTTTAGATACTCTCAATATCTCCTTTCCTACAGAGACATTGCTACAGAGTTGGGATGTATAAAAAAAATATTTATATCGTAAGGTCCAAACAGTTAGACAGTACAATGAATAAAAATATAGCATTATTTTCTTTTCTTCTGCAGCAATAGAAGGTATATTTTTATAGGCAGGATTGGGTAATACTAGCGTTAAACGACACAATTTGGGTCTATTTTTAAAAGGGTTATCGGCCCCCAGAACAAAATCTCCAGGCTCACATAATATTATTTTGGCTAAGTTCTTAATAGGACCTTTTTAAAAATTGACCCAAATCGGGTTCACTCACATACAATGTTTGCATTAAAAAAAGTAAATTTTGTGGTTTTTATATGATTATTATTTATATAATTAAAATAAATAAATAATTTGTCAAATATCTATTTACATTTCAGTCTAATTTAAATATTTATTGTTATTTATTGAGTATTTTGCAACTCTAAATTTAGTAAAACACATCGCATTTTATTTAAAATAAATTCATCAAAGTATTTTGTAGTATGAAGTAGCGAGGCTTCAGTTAAGGTTAGACTGGTAGGGGGTTTTCGACTTGATGGGATCTCGTAAGTGTCATTTAGGTTATTATAAATAAATTACTCTTAAATTTTATTAATATTAATCAAATATAAAAAATTATACAAGTCAAAAATATATTAACTTTAAAATTTATTCTTCAAAATTATTTACCAAAAGAAAGTATCTAATTTATTTAATACAAAAAAAGTATATTATTATACTAAAAATTAATTTTAAACTAAAATAAAAAGTTTATCTTTAAAGATATGTCCATATTATAGAAAATTTAAAGCGCGCAATTATAAATTAAAATAAAATTCGCGCAAAGTGAAAAAAGAACGTTTTTGCAAAAGAGTTGTTAGTTTTATCTTACATAATTAGAGATATAACATACCCCTCCCCCTATACTTTCTGGAATTCTAATTATACCTCTAGATGCAGGGTGATCTCCCAAACCTAAATCTTTAACTTACATTAGCTGAACACCTTACTAAGGCTCCAAATGTAAGAAAAACCCCTAAGTAAAAGAAAACACAAAAACCATATGTTTTACTTTAAAAATAATCCTGTATTTTTTTCAGTTCAGTTTATTGACAGAAAATACAAATATTTTTTGTTCAAATTCAATATTCTCCTAAACCTAATTTTTGTTGATTTTTGCATTAATTTTTCTTTTTTTCTTTCTCTCCGATCTTTTTCTAATTAAATTAATATTCATTGATAATACAGAGTGGCTTAAAAAACACGGCTTTTTAAAATCTGTTTAACTCTAAAACTTGCCATTTGTTTTTTTAAATAAAATATTATTTATTAAATAAAAAAATAAAAATATCAATTTATTTTAAGGATTGGATTAAGGCAGTGTTTTAAAAAATTGAGATCAAATACTAATATTTGATAAAAATAACTCGAGACATTTAATGATGTAATTTTTTAAAACTCCGGTGATATGGACTCTATGTTGGATTATTACTGTACCTTCTCATTTTCCAAAAATTTTCCCCATTCATATACTGGATGCCAATACACAAATATTGAATTATATAAATACAGAAATACAATTATCGAATGTAGGACCGGCTCTTTCTCTTATTGTATAACAACCCCGACAATTTCATCCTTCACTGATATAATGATAGCTTAATTATTCCAGCAGGGTCTAACTCCTAAAAGTTAAAGCCAATTTTTAAAACAGAGGTCTTTGATTTGTTAACTTGATAATTCATTCCCATATTTCGAAGTCCCTTCTTAGCTGATTTATGATTAAAACAAATTTTTTGTAAAAAAGCGAGAATCCAGCGATTGTAATATAATGGGAAACTAACCAGTTATCTTTAAAATGATCGAGGGTATTAAATTTTGTCAAATTTTAGCATTTTATATTTAAATATTATAAAAACCTTCTAAAATTATTTGAAGACATTAAGTTTCATATGTTCTTTAATAAAATATGAAATTTTATAAAAAAAAATGATGCTAGAGTTGTGAAGATTTAAATTTACAATGTTTTATTTAAGCCATTCAGTATATTTTGAGATTCTAACTTTATTGTTAATGCAATAGACATACAACCTTAAGATTTTGTCCATGTTTATGTTAATCATTTTATACTTGATTAGAAATTTTAACTCCTCAGACGAGTCTGTCAAGCAGTAGCGTTACTAGGAGGGAGAGGGGCGCAGGAACTGGAGCACCTAAAGAATTTGAAGAGCCTCCTGAAAATTAAAAATTTTTTTTTATATTTTGCATAATGTTTGTTAAAAAAGTATGGATAATGTTAGTTTTCAAAAAAAAATGATTCTATTATGATAATTCCACGATTTCTTTTATTTCACAAATATATCCCTATATAATAATGTCACATGATTTACAAAAAACATAGATAAAAAAATGTTATATCTCTCTTATTCAAAATCAATTGAAAAACGTCTATAAATGATAATTATATATCATCAGATACAATAGTTAGCTTGGAAAAGGTAATTTATAAAAATGTTAGCAAAAATTTTAAAAATAATTAAAAAAATTTTTTTTGAACCCACTGAGATTGTATAGAGTAGTGATAGTGACGCTCCTGCTGTAAGTTTTATTATTATTTGTGGTTTCGGATTTGGAAGAACAATAATTATATCCAAACTGATTGATTATTAAAATTGATTAGATCTTCTTATAATTTTCATCAGGCACATTAATAAATCACTTGCATGGTGAGACACTCATTTCAGCATTATAGGCTTAATAATAGAAGTCATTTATTTTTCTTTCTTAAACTTAAACTCACGATTTATTTTAAAACGAAGTTACATCAAAAACATTAGTTATTCATTTAAGTTACATAAAATCATAAATTGTTAAATAAAAAGATCAACCTGTTAACGAACAAAATATTCATATAATAAAATATAAAATTACAAAAGTATTCAATATCAAAAATGGTAAATTAATTACATAGTATTAATTTATTTAATATAGTGGCCAGATAAATTTGTCTAAGAGGTATTTTGTATCACTTGTTGCATGCTTTTAATAAGATACTTGTAACTGTATTTAAGATGTATTTTTTATAAAATTATTGGTCCTATCCTTTTAAGGAACTGTTTAACTCTTCTTGCTAAACTACAATATATAAGAATAAGATTTTACGTACGTGATAAAAGCGTTTTCGCCTTTTTGGTTGTGGGTACAACAGAGCTACGCTAGGTTTTCCTCAAAATCCATCAAACTGGATAGTTAATTAGGGGAAGAAAAATGAGGAGCCCTTCACACGTTTAAGGGAAGCCGCACGTACTTGTAGGCGCAACATTTCGAAAAAAGTTGCTTAAACCTCTATAGGCTTAAAAGGAGTGGGGTAAAAAAAAGAGCCTATACCCGAGAACTACAGTATAATTTAATTACTTTAAAGGTGGGTGATGGCTGATTTTTAGTGTAGGTTTTGATGATTACTATCACTATTGAGATTTAATGTTCATAGAATATGTAAATAAATATGATTAAAATATAAAAAATTTGCCTGAACAGTAGATATAGTGTTATTTTTTTATTAATGATTCAACCCATACAATACAGTAATCATAGTCTATGTTCAATTTAATGTAACCATTTCAGAGTTCTAAAAACATGTCAATAATTAGGGTTCCACAGGTACCAAAACCTTTCTTTAGGTGCAACTAAGGGATTTACAAATGCAAGATCATTACAGTTCTATATATGTCCATAATTAGGGTTCCACAAGTACCAAAACCTTTGTTTAGGTGTAACTATCTATGTACTGACCATGATTCAAATGTATATAAGATAAGAAAATTAATGTTATAATTATAAATTGTATAAGCTGGAAGTACATAATTAACAAAAATTTTTATTATGAGGATCTTCTGATGAGTGTAAAGATTCTTGAAAATAATTCCATAACTTTGAATATTCTTCATAGGACTTCAATTAGTGTTTATATGGCAAACCCGCCACCGCTTTTATAGTTTGATCTCCATATATCTGTGCACACTTGGAAACCGAGTTGACAGACATTATAATGGAAAAAGATTTAAAATTTGAAAGGAAATAAAATACAGCTAGCGTATAAAAATAAAAGTCAGTTTTCATCATAAACAGGTTATATATTAACAAGATACAATGCTTAAGAGTTGGTAAAATAATTAATATCAAAATGTATTAAATTAAATCATAAAAAATATTAAAATATATGAAAACTAATACTATTTTAATTAAAATTTATTTTGTATGTTATGTGTATAACATTTAGAAATATATAGTTATTAGTTTTTATTTATATACTATTATTAGTTTTTATTTATATACTATTATTAGTTTTTATTTATATACTATTATTAGTTTTTATTTGTATACATTATTTTCCAATTATAAAGTAAAATTTTTTGCCATAGGAAATACACAAGATTGAAACTTAAAAATAAGATTTTTAAATATCATTGAAGAACATACATATGTTTTTAAATATTTGGCATTCATACATAAAATTTGTCATAATTTAGGCAAGAATGAAATCAAATGATTGTGTTAATATAAATGAAATACTTAAAGTCATTGAGGATAAGGATATTATAAAATTTGGAGAATTATTGGCAAATTTTAACTCACATATTAATGTTATTGTAGACCCAGTATATTTCTTTTCATTTATATTAATATAAAAATATCTAAGAATGGACAATCTTTACTTCATTATGCTGCATTATCAAGTTATGAAATTGTAGAAGAGTTATTAAATAGAAATAGTTACCCAGATGCAGGTGTGTATATATATTTTTTACTATAATGATTAATAATTATCAAACTGTTAGTTGATCATGATCAATGGACTCCATTAATGCTAGCTTCAAAAGCTGGCCATGCAGATATATGTAACATACTATTAAAACATGGGGCTGATGTTGATCATAGAGATCTAGTATATTTATTTTATAAGTTTTTTTTATATATAAAATATATTAGGGTGGTTGGACATCTTTGATGTGGGCATGTTATAAAGGTAGATTTGAAGTGGTAAATGTTTTACTCAAATATCAGGCAGATATGAAGATACGTGAAGAAGTTTAAAAATAATTAATTATATATTCTTTATAAACAATTATTTAACATAGCATGGAATGTCTCCAATAATGTGGGCTTCAGGAAGAGGTTATTCTGATATAGTGGAAAGCTTATTAAAATCTGGTGCCAAAGCTCAATCAGTTGATAAAGTATTATTTAAATGTTTTAATTATTATGAAAAAATATTTTAAAAATACTGAAAATAGAGATTAATTTGTTATAGAATCAATATTGAATATTAAATGATTTGAATGTATAAATTTTTAATGTAAAAAGTTGTACAAATTATTTTTATATAAAAATTTTTTAAGATGTATCAAATTTGTTTAAAAAAAAATAAGGACAATTTTTGGTAAAATATTCTTGGAACCATTATGCCTCTTGAAAACTTTGGGAAAAATTTATTTTTTCTCTAAAAAATAGGGATTTTTTTTGTAAATTATAGGCTTGACTAAATTAATTAGAAAGGCAACAAATTTCGTTATAATGTTATGTTATCAAATGTATAGGTACCTTACTACAAATAGTAAATCATTATCGTTGACTTGATTTAAAAATCATTTGTCTCATAATTATAAAAAAATATTGTTCACTTACATTTAAACATAATTTTTTTTAAAAAAACTATTGTATCAAGCCTTTGTAACTAATTTAGTAGAGCTAGAATATGGCATTAAAAAGCTGGCTCTTAAGTTTAAAAATCTATAATCACCACTGCATTTATACATCTTAAAATAAATTTTGGGTTTATATTTTCAAATCTTAAAGAGTATATTATGAATTTGAAAATCAAAAGGAAATTACTATCTATCCCAGGGCATCCAATTTTCTTTCCTATTAAAAATTTAATTGTTTATTATTTTTGTATTTATATAAAAATTCAAGCATAAACCTATTTAGTAATATTTATATTTAAACTTATTGTATCTTATTAAGCATTTTATTGGGTTTGTTATAAAATTTAAGAATACAATGCTTATTTTTTTAATAGGTGATCTTGTAATAATATAATCTCTAATTACAATTCACAAAAATATAGGCTTGAGTATGTAACTGTTCTATTTGAATACCCTATTCTGGGTGTAAGCCCAACAAGCTCACTTATAATATGTTATATCTTAATATCTTATATATTTTAAAAGGTTATAATTTGAATATTATATTTGTAATAGAATATGATAACTTTCTTACATTTAATATTATATTATCAAGATTAGTCAAATTGCATATTATTAGAAGTTAAATTTGATAATTATATAAAAGTATATATATGCAAAAGAATTAAAAATAAAATTCATTATTGTTTTTAAACTTTAATCGATATAATATATTATAACTTTATTTGTATATAACAAAATTTCAGTTCAATTCAAGTGCCTTACTATGGGCTTGTCGTAAGGGTTACAAGGATTGTGCAAAACTTCTCATAGATGCAGGAGCTGACCTTGACACTGTCGGAATGAATGGGTGGACCCCTATCTTAGCAGCAACTAAAGGAAACTACGTTAATCTTGTAAAACTATTGCTAGAACATAACCTCAACCTAAATCACCGTGACAAGGTATACAGCAATATACTATTATAACAATATCACTCTTTAATTTAATATTGGATAAGTTGTATCGCTGGTAACTTCTCAGGACTAAATCCAATTTTTTTAGTGGTTAGTAAATTCCTGGCCAGGATATCTGATCTTATAATAAAATTCTTTATTTCTTATTTTATTCCGGTTCAGGATCAGATTTCCATTACCCACCAATAATATTTTACATAATTGAAATAGGATTAGCTCAGTCTTTGTTTAATGATAGAAAAATTAGGTCGATTTACGCGAAGATATTTATTAGTGTTGTAAAACAGCTCGTTTTGATCCCATTTTTTAAAACGGCTAACACAATATTTTAGCCAGAAAAATCTCGCCTAAGCCTCGAGATTTCGATAATATTGTCTAGACTATTGTTCCTTCTCCGAGCAAAATCTTTAGGCTTGCGTAATATTTTTCTGGATGAAATATTGAGATAGCCGTTTTTATTAATCGGCTCAAAACGAGCCGTTTAACAACAATAATATTTATTATATGATTGATTGTTTATTTATTATGTATAATTGGTATTTGGTTTTTGTTTCAAAAGAAAATAAATAAAAATTAAAATATATTTCTTAAATTACGATTAGTATAATATTACAACTAATTTTAAATACAAATTAAATAATGATTGACCTTAAGATGCAATTAATAAATTATAAATTTTTTTAAAAAAATATAGCATATTGTTTGTCCCATCCCATGTAAGAGCATGCTCAGTCGAGTAGGCTAGATTTTTATATAATAGTTTTTAATAACTTTATATTTTTTTTAAGTGTTAAATAATATGTCATTTCTGGACTGATAATAATAAATATAATATACATTTACTTCTTTTTTTTATAGGAAAGTAAAATCACGATTAATTTAATAATAAAAATTTACATTATATTAATTTAATTGACGAGTTACTATATCCCCATTTTTTTGTAGATATTTGCGACATCAGTAATTTTAAAATATTTTATGGTATTTTTTTTTTACCAGTTATATCTTAAAATTTTAATATTTTTTAAAAAAAACGAAGTTAACTTTTATCATTTCTTAAAAAAAAATTTAAAAAAATATGGGGCCAATTATATATTTTTTATATATAAATTTCATGACATTAGCATATTTTAATAACCTTTGATTTAAAAAAATAAAATATTTTTAACCTAATCCTTATGCTGCATTTTTATTAAACGCGTTATCTTTAAGTGTTTCGTTATTTATAGCAGTATTATTACAGCTGATTCAAGTTTTAAAAGCTAATTTAAGATAAAGCTTAAAGGCGATAATTATTTTATGTAATATTTAAACAAAATCTTATAACTTTTTATCGAATTCGCTATTATTTTTATAAATCGTATCGCATTATCATCATAACGCTCCATTATTGGCTTTATTTTGTACGCAACGCTTGAACAAAACGCGTTTATTATAAATACGGCCTTAATTATTTAAAATTTTTTTTATTTTTAAAAAAAAATTCTTCAATTATGTTTTTCTGCCAATTTCAGTACTGAGAACTCAGTTTTATCAATTTCACGAATCTTTAATTTATTATTCGTGGTGAATTATACAATGCAGAGTTATGTATCATAATCCATTTAGAATAAGAATTTTTTTTCTCTCTACTTGGCATCAGACTTTCCAATGGCCCTATCCGATTTCCAATCCATAAGGTTGAGGTTCTTCGACCAGATGATAGGCTGGATTTTATATAATTGTTTTATTACTTTGTATTTATTTTATAACCCAAATTTATGAATATAATAGTTAATCAAATCTAAGTTAGTTTTCTATATGTCAATTTTAGAATAATATAAAAAATTTATATCACACGTATAACAACCCATTTTATGGAATTACTTATATTAGGTCTTGAAGTATCTAATACTATGTTACACTGGAAATTTGTTAGCTGCTTAATAATTAACTAAATAAAACTCACTTGGTACAGAATCAGAGTCCACGTTTTTTTTTGGAAAATAAAATCAGCGATTATATATATTTTATTCTCATAATCATAGCTAAATAGGTCTGTTATTAAATAAAAATCATCCAACATAATTAGTTTTTTTTATATCAATCAGTTCAAGAGTATATTCCGATTATAATAGTTCATACTCCATATCTTCAATAAAAATAATTAAAATGTAACTTGCTAATACAAATTAAGATGCTCCAATAACTGACGCTAGATACACTTATTAGGATTTTATTTCGCCAAAAAAAATTTACAGAAATATTTAAATTGATGAGGAAAGAAGAAGCAATCGTAGTGAGAGGAATATAATTTATAAATCATATATTATATTATGAACTATGGTTTTATTAATATATATTATTTTTTTGGTTATAATTTAGCATTATATAAATCTGATTTGTGCCTAACACTTACGCATTAATAATAGTTTAAAAAATCGTTTCTATCAAATATAAACCTTATTTTATCTGTATACATTTGATGGAACAAATTTAATAAGAATTTGATATAAACTCATTCGGGATTTTGCTTAACTTGGATTACCAATTTATTGCCTAAAAATAAAATAATTATGATACTATAGAGATCTGCAAAATTAGGCTCTGCCTGTACCCGGCCCGAAGCCCAATCTATTTAAAATAATCGGGTTCGGGCCGGGCCTAATATTTTAAGAAAAATCGGGCCGGGTCGGGTCGGACCTTGGAATTTTTTTTAAATATATCTTAAATTTATCAATTTTATATTAAATTTTTTAATGTAAAATAAAAATATTTGATTTTATTTATTGAAACTAAACGACATATAACATATGTCTTTTATTTTGAGTAATTATAAAAAATAATTTCTATATTTAAATAAATACGAGCCGGGCCGGGTCGGAAAATTTTTTTAAAATAAATTCGGGTTCGGATTGGGCCGGCAAAACTTTTTTAAAAAATTTTGGGTTCGGGCCGGGCCGGCAAAACTTTTTTAAAACAATTTCGGGCCGGGCTTGAAAAATTAGGCCCGATGCAGATCACAGAATATTTTTTTTTTAACATAATTCCTCACTGAAATTTTCAAATTACATATATTTTCTCAATCCTATGTTTTATATAACTTTTTCAATTCCTCATTTTAAATTTTCTTAATTTTTCATTAATTTGCCTTAATTTTCACGCAATCTAACCCTGACAGTTCGCGCGAATTCGCGGCGAAGTGTACAAAAATAATGTAAAAATATTATATTTATAACATATTTTGTATTTCGTCGCAAATTCGCATTAACTGGTCAATCATGACATATTCATTCATCAAATTAACCAATATGATTAGTTGTGTTAAACGGCTCGATTTGAGCCTATTTAAAAAAAAATATATCCTAAACCTATAGATTTCGGTAATAGATGTACAAACCTTTGTGCCAACTATGACCAAAATCTTCAGGTTTGCATATATTCCTGAATAAAATATTGAGTAAGCCACTTTTAGTTTAACAGGACTAAATGTGAAATGTAGTTTTAACATTTACAAAAAATAAAATAAAAAAAAAATTCAAAACGTAAGGATGGTATGACGGCAATGGCATTAGCTTCCAATTACGGATTCGTTGAGATAGTGGATATGCTTTTAGCCCGCGGTGCCCACGGGGCCCTTTCGAATTTCCATAACGATACCTGCCTTATCTTAGCGTGCAAAAATGGACATTACCCCGTTGCCAATACGCTTTTAGCCCATAATTTAGGCACCGACGCTCAAGTTTTTACTTCTTCCATTGTTAAAACCTGTGTATAAAATAAAAATGGCGAACGGAAGAGACGAAACTGTTTTTTTTATATTAAAAATATGGCTATGTCGATCCCTCCGATCCGATGATTTTCGATATTATCCAAAACCGATTTGATAACCGACAGATCGGATTTTTGAAAAACATTGAATCGACTAATTCTAATATAAGAGGTTGGTAAGGGAATGAATACGTCAATCGGGATTTAACAAAACTCACTCATTTATTCATTCGATATCATGTTTTAATAAAGAAGTCGATAGCACTTGTGGAATTTCGCAATTTTTTTATATAAGTTATTTTGGATATTTTGCCAAGATTATCAAAGGTTTTTTTTACGTGCTAAAAGTGCATTTAAAAAAGGAAACAAAAATTTTCTGGGCATTAATGGATTTTGAGATTATTACTAATTTTTAACTGTTAATCATCCTTAGGGATACAATGGTAAAACTGCTTTATATTGGGCCGCCGAGAAGAATTACAACGATATAATCATGCTGCTCCTAAGGAATAAATGCGATATGGAAATCGTTAACGAAGTAAAAGAAACAAATATTTTAAATTATGAAAAGAAATCCATAATTATCCCTATCAGCAATATTTGATGAAACTGGTTGTTAAATTTTTTAAATTTATAATTATTATCTTTCACTCGATTCATGATAAATCCGCAATTCGAATTTTAAGAATGGCGAAACGGCGTTACTCAGGGCCATTCACAATAGAAACTCTGTCGCCGTTCAGATGCTTATAGATGCTGGTGCCGACGTTGGCAAACCTGATAAAGTTTAATTTTTTAATTGAAAAAAAAAATTTATTCTTATTATTTATTTTTCTTCTTCTTTTCTTTTCAAAATTTCTGTTTCAAAAACAAATATTAACCAAAAAAATAAATAATAAATGAGTTATTCCCTCGCCTATAAAAATAATAATTTCTCTCCCATTTCATCTTCCAATCCTTTAAATTTAAAAGAAAGAGAACTTACTTTATTTCAGAGTTTAAAAAAAATCTGTCTAAAATTTTTTTTTTTCATAAAGAGAGATTTTTGATCAAATTTTACCTAAAAATGTCAAAATCTTTATAATATACATGCGTACAAAAAATATTTCAAGATGAAATCACAAATTAAAAAAATAATAACATTTGGTCTAATTATGATATTTAAGCATAGATCCGCAGAAGTCGGAATTTTAGGCTTGTCTCAGATTATAAAAAATTTTTTTTTAAGGCTGGTCCGACCAGGTTGTTTAATATTATGGCCCACCATATAATTAATTAAGTTAACCCATGAAACTGATTTTTAATATAATTATTTAAAAATTAGAATAAAATCATTAGGGAATTTCGCAATTTTTTTAAAATATTTTTATTTGTGATGAGAAGCTAGCTTTTAAACAAATTATATATATTTGCTTATTTATTAATAATCGATAAAGGGCCAATTTATATGCCTAATAATCTTTCAAACAGTAATTTCTCTCATAATATTGATATCGATATTTTTCTAAATATCAAAAAGAAAGAACGAAAAATCAAAGATTTATAAAACATTTAATCATCTTTACTAATTTATACTTGGTAAAGCCACATTTTTTTAAAGAAGTTTTTGAAACAAAATTTATTCGAACACAAATATCCAATCAATTTTTCATTTAAGACTTTCCAAAAAAATCAAAAAATAACTTTTTCTTATAATATATATTTTTTTAAAAAAATAGCATCAAATAATTTATCTAAAATATCTAGAAAGGGGACACGGCCCTCCACATCGCCGTGAGGATGAGAAGCAAGCACCTGACCGAAATGTTACTCAGAAACCCTAAAAACAGCAAACTTCTTTACGTACCAAACAATGCGGGTCAGACGGCTTACAATATAGACGCCCAATCGGCAAACGCATTCCTTCCTTACCTATTTGGGGCTCGTAAGTTATATTTTATAATTAAACTTTAGAATTAAATTTGACAAAATTCTAATTTTATCATGTGGCGCAATGGTGATTATTAGTGGAAAAATGTGAGATTGTTGTGAGCTTTATTTAAGGCAAAGATCCTTTTCCCTAAATTTGACGTTAGACGCCATTTCTTTGTTTTATTATAATAAACTCGGCTCACTTTGTTATAACGAGTGAAAAAATTTTTTAACCTCCCAATGATGCTCGAATTAGACAATTGTTTCACTACAAAATTAAAAAAAAATAAAATAAAAACCAAATTACCTAGAACACCTTAAAACGTTCGATTATACCGAAAATATGCTCGGATACGATTTATATAGCAGCGCGCTCTCAGATGTGTTGTGTGATCCCATGCTTGGCTTGCCTCTAACTGTTGGCCTCTACGCCAAATGGGGAAGCGGAAAATCATTTCTACTCAAAAAACTGCAAGGTTTATAATTAATAACAATGATTGATAGTCCATTTTTTAAATATTAACAACTAACAAGGCTTCTGAATAAGAGATCGGCATAAGCGGGCCCAAACCGGCCAATAGAAATTTTAATCGGGTATTTTGACCTTGGCAATTATTTTATATCTTAACCTCATAAATAATTTTTTATGAAAGAAAATGACATTAACTTGCCTAATTATAAGCTTAAAATATTTTTAATACTTCGATCCCACCTAGCTCGTAAATATATTTTTCGCAATTCGGGCTGGCACAGGCCTTCCGGACCGAGTTGCTTCTACCTCTATTCGGAGTAACGTAATATTTCCATAAAGTTAATATTTGAAGGCTGTTTTTTTAAAAAAAAATTCTTCCGCTGAATTATTGACACGATCTGTTCTGAGTAATATATATGACTGGTTTTTTTTCTTCACTAAATATTTATTTTTAAAACTTAAACATCAATCATCGCAGTTATCAACTTTTAAAAAGAATATGAATTAAACAGAAACACCCTTACAACTCGTTCATTCGAATGTGTAGTTCATTAATCCTCAGTTCCTTCGCTGTTCTTCGGGAACAGCAATCCTTAGTTATATTTCAATCTTTATTGTATAGTATTCAGAGATACGTAAATATAAAAAATATGTTCAATAAGGCCTGCAGATCTCAATCAATATTATTTGGCTTTAGTGAAACCCTTATTGAGTCGCCTGCCTAAGATACATCAAAGTTTTTTGGCCTAAAGTTTTAAAGAATATAGTTTTTAAACTAAACCCATCACCGGTATCTGATACTACAGGATGCAATTTGATATTAATTTTAGTCCAAATTTATATATATTAATTTTATTCATTCTGGCCACCAGGCCACGGAGACAGTGCTAGGAAGGCACAACACCATAATCCATATATAGTTCTAAGCTAGAGGGATTTCATTCTCACAACACTAGAATATTGAAAATTGGTAATATTCACTTTTCCTTACACTGAAAAATCCTTATACTATTTTTATATCTCACACGTCATAACTCCTCATGCAATGAAGCTTATTGTGTTTTATAATAATGTTTTTCCTTTAAATCAGATTAAAGCTTACTTTAATTAAATTCAATTCCTGCAATATCAATTGCAACTATTAACTACGTATATACAGGTAATGAAACCACAATGTCATTTTTATTAGCAGGTCGCAGTTCACCAATTCTTATTTCAACCACCCGCATTTTAATAAAACTTATGGAGGTTATAACAGCAATTAATTTATTTAATTAAGATTCAATTGGAGGCTTAGATAGGTGTCTTGCGATATTTCTTTAAGATCAAGACTTAATCAAGTTGTCTATTCCTAGTAATCAAAATCTTGTTGCGAATTTAAATCTTCTTAATATGTTCAATAATAATATTCCTCTATTCATGCAATTGTCGTTCTTATCAAGAGAGACGGAAAAGTCCATTCAAAAGCAATTGGTTCAGTTTTTTAACTAGTGACTCACCAATCTGTAACTTTAAATTGTATCTATTATTTTTCATCGAACTATCTGGGCTTAGACATATTAGTTTTATGCAAAACTGCCTCACATACCACAAGTTTTCTACTTCTACAAACTTGCGATAATACCTGTTTCCTAAAATTGGATTTTAACACTGCATTTAACACAATGCAAAAAGGAACTCGTTATTCATTCACTTTGCTAAATATTTCCATTTCCTGGTATTTACCACATATATCTGCCTGTTAAAAGTCAACCATCGTATCTAAAAGTTGGTCGAAAACAACCATTGAATCTCGGCAGATTTTTTCATGAGCTGCTGATTAAGCCTTGCCATCTTCTGTCAGATAACTTAACTAATTGTATCTTAACGATGAAACAATAGGAGGGCCTTACATACAATCAACTATTGAAAACCTCATCAATCATGCATAACCCCAATGCTGCTACTGGATTTAAAATTAAATTTAAAATAATTGCAAATTTTATTCACCTAAATTTTCTTAAAATGAATTGATTAAAGACAATTTTTCTCATTTCAATTCACTTGTTGATAGGATTATAAAGGGGCAATTAACACATTTTTTTAAAAATTTTTATTCAATCATTTTGACCCACCTCAAAATATACCTTTGCATCAATCCTTCTTCCTTCAAAATTTTTTTTATATTTCTAAAATATTACACTCCCTTTGAACTGCTCCTCTTCTCTAGATTTGAGATTCATTAAAAGATCTTTGGAAATTATCTTTATTTTCATTTTCGTTTATTTAATGGATACAAGTTTTCTTATCAAAATTCGGAGGCCAGAAATACGTTCTCCGTCATTGTAGTACTGCCACATTTCCCTTATCTGAATCGGTGTGTCATGAGATTATAAAATGTTTAACTCTCTTTGATCCACATTATGTTGCCGTTTTAAATCTTTAGTAATTAATTGCATCTAACTCTCCTAATCCGAGCTCACCTAAACAATGAGTGATACTCACATCTAATATTTACTCGAATTCCATTGTAAAAGGATACTTTTTTTTATTATTACACTTAATGGACAAAAGTATGCCCCTTTCAGTATTTACTGTTGACCAATCTAAAAAAATAAACCATTTAGGCAGACTTAAGAATATTCAGGCAAACGCTGCTAATCATCATTACTGTTCAGGATACGAATAGCACAAAGCCATCTTTAGTTCCAATAAAAAAACCGAATAGCGGTAGGCCTTTGATTATTCGATTTGGCTGCTACATTATCAAGCCTAATACATGTAAACTCTATGACTGCCTCATTGACAGCCTCGACCAGCACTCACTTCACTGCCTTGGTACTCGCAGTAAACTTAATGGTTGTCAGGTCTCTTCTCTCAGCTAACCATCTGGCCTTTAGGCATCGAAAATAATGCCAGACCCCACGTCATGACTCATATATTTTGGAATAATGGATTCACTCTAAGCTGAGATTATTCGTGTAATTATTGATTTACTCCTTCCTTTATTTAGCGGCATGCTCGGTCGGCAATGTAGAATTAACAAATATAATTTGGCTAACATCACATTAATTCTTAGATACCATTGATGGGTTTAGTTCAAAACCTTTAATATTCTTTATAAAAACTTTGGACCAAAGAGATATATCTCAAGAAACCTTCAAGTGGGGTTTTCCCTACGTCAAAAAAAAATCTCACTGTATACCCTTCCACGGAGCTATTTATTGAGCTCATTTTTATTTTTATGCATCGCTTAATATATATATACATTATATAAGACACAATCTAATTAGGAGGGGGGGGGGGTGATTATTTTTATTAGACATCAATTGAAAGATGTTTTATAAGTAATCGCGAAAATATTTTCCATGCAAAAATATATAAAAATAATACATATATTTTTTATACTTTTTGTATTCGGTTGCAAATGATAGAGGAAATGATAACATTCACCGACAACATTCTTCAACCTACCTTTCATCTGACAAATTTTATTAGCCTGATATCGGTCTTCATCTGTATGGTACCTTCCCTTTTCCTTGGGGTCATAATATCCTGGGTATACGGATTTATCTTGTTCATAGCACTGCTGATTCTTATTTTCACCTTTTACGGTTAGAAATTGATTGATTATATGCATATTCAAAATAAAATATAGTTTATATTAGTAATATACCTTTGTTAAAAGAAAGAAAGAAGGAAAGAAAGTAAGAAATAGAGTATTTTTTAAATGAAAAGATTAAGATGAAACCGTTAATTATTTTGATTCTAATTAATATTGCGCAAGAATAATTGAAAATAAATACACGAGTAGTTTTATAATGTAGTAAAGGTCACGAGACCTGTCTCCCCATCCAGTTCATTAGACGGTTCACCGTCACCGCGGTTCTGATTTCGTATAACATGCCAGATCGTGGTTATCCAGACCATAGACCTTAGCTAACCCGCATTCATGGTTAGTGCTCATTTGCCGATAAGTTTACAAAAATGAATGTAAAATTATTATACTTATATCATTTTTTATACTTCGCCGTGAATTCGCGCTAATTGTGAATGCAGGGTAAGGAGGAACCTTATTTTTTTTTATTTTAACATTAATATCAAATATACTCTTTTGATACAGGCTTTATTTTGATTTCCAAGTATTTTGGTTGGGAACGAATAACTAAACTCAATTTAATGTTGGCAATAAAATTTGAAAAACTCAAGCTGTTTTTTCAGATTATATATTGCAATCCCTCCACCGAAAATCTGGAAGAAAGCATACCTCAGGGAATCAGGTATTATACGATAGGACGATATTTTACTTTTAAAAAAATTAAAAATACTTATTTTTTTGGAGTTTGAACAAATATTTCATATAAAAAGCGTAAGAGTAGGAGGCCCATGTTTAGCTAGAGAAAAAATAGCCATTATCGAATTTATTACAGAAAGGAAACTCTAAAATTTCTTTCCACCTTCCTATGAAATTCTTATGTCCATTCTTGTAATTTTAGACCTCCGGGACCCTCTTGCGCCAAGTGGGTTGTGGAGGACTGTTTCTTGCGCATCTGCTTACTTATATAGATATACTAAAGCAGGTCCAACCTAACTCAGATCACTCGAAACTTAGACTTTTTCGAGAACTGGACCTGGCTTTTATTATAGCATCTTCTTTTGGGCCGGATTATTACTTGGATCCCGAAAAAAATGCCGGAACCTATAAATAAAATAGGCCCGATAGTTAATGATTGCTAGGATTCGGGTTTTTTTTTAAAAATATATAAACTAAAAACATGCTATTTATTTATTTTTTTTGTTTAGAACTCTAGTTAGTTAATTTATTTCTGTGCACAAATATTTATATGAAAAACAAAAACCGATAATTATAATATAATTATACAACGCTTACTTCTCTCTCTTTAAAAAATATGGGGGATCCCTCATGATTTAATTAGTCTGCGCTGACCCGGCTTTCCAGTTCAATAACTAAATAGTTGCTTAGATTGGAACATCCCCTAGTCTAACTCACAATCTCCCACATTTGAGCTTTAGGGTTCGGGGGGTCTAAAATTATTATTTTTTAAATAAAAAATAAAAGGTTCTTATTCACCGATTACGCTAAGCTTACCACTATGGGAGGCGAGAAATCGCTCGCTGGAATGGTTGCTACTTTATGCCACGTTGCTGAAAAAGAATTTGGGCTACTGACCGTTCGATTTTTTAGAGTTTTTCACCCAAAAAGTAAAATAAATAAATGTATATATCATAAATTCATATTCTAAATTGATGGTATCGTAAACTTTTTCGCGAAATAATTTTAATTGTCATTTTACAATTATTATTTTTTTTCTCCATTTTGTAAAGTTTTAATCAATCATGTGTAGTGTTATTAAATGGGCCGATTTGGGTCGATTTTTAAAAACGACTGGATTAAAATTTTAGCCAAAAGAATATTATGTAAGCAACGAGATTTGCCAAATTCAACTTTGGCAAAATCTCTAGACTTCTCCTCTGATGATGATGAGATTTACGTATCATGGGGAATTCGTTTATTTTACCTTATCGTTTACTTTAAATTTTCTGCCTTTAATATAAATATTTATTAACCATTCCTACTATCTCATGTACTGCCGAAAGGGTGTAAAAAAACAAATCACTGTTTGGAGGGGGGGGTACTTTACAAGGGGGGTATTCTGCTTCCTTCCCTCATAAAGTATAGGGGCTACAGAGAGGGTGAGAGCCATTTACTTACAATTGTAGGGTTAGGTAATTGGGTAGGGTAAAATAAAAAAAACTGACTTATGACTACCCACTCTGAGTCGGAGTATAACGAATTCCACTATTTAACAACTAAAATCTAATTATTTTGTCGGCCAATGAGTTCTGTCCGGAATCGGTCCTAGTTGACCTTCATCATATGGATCTGAACTAAAGTCCACTTAATTTAATGGAATGTACACCTAATGACAACTAAACATCACAGAATTTTGAAAACAATATATATTCGTCATTTAATCCTTTTATTTGATAATTAAAAGTTATTCTTTATCTTCTTTTTTTTCACTTATAAATTTTCCGTATAAAGTTAACGACAAGTTGCGTACTAAAACATGCTTCTTTATTCCAAAATACATCGTCGCTATGATCGTTGCCCTCTCATTGGTCTCTTTAATTGCCCTGGCTTTTAGATGCTTGTGGTTGGGACAACGGATTGCGGATATAGATTCAAACGCCTTTAGAGCCATCTTGGGACTTAGCTGCATTGTCGTCATTGCTTTTATAGGTAATTTAGAACACTTGCATCGGATATATGTATTTTTTAAAATATCGGAAGTTTGCTAAAAAAAAAAATTTAAACGAGATTTTAAAGAAAACGGAAAAATTATAAGGCCGTGCCCTGATTCGTCTTATTTCTAAACAGAAATCCGTTTAGCCGTCTATATTAGCTTCCTTTAAACAAAATAAAGAGGAATAGGTTACGGTAAGGGTTAAGAAATTTAGAGTTTAGCTAGTCGTTATAAAAATTTTAAAATGATTAAATGTACTTAATACTTTAAAATATGAATATTATAGATAAAAAAAACAATAAGAAAAAATACTTTGCCTTAAAAATTGGTTTGGCTTTATAAACTTAATTAATATGCATTTTAATGTTAGTTAACAACTTGATATATTCTTTCATTATTATAATAATTTTTTCTGTTTAAAATTAGCGGTGCAATTAAAATATCCTGTCAATATTCGTTATTTTATAATAATTTGAAAAAACCAATTATTCGAAGAATACAAATAGTAAATTAATCGATTCGTTTAAAAAAATCGAATTTGAATTTTGTTTTTGAAAGGGTATAATTTAGAGAAAAACTAGCACACCTCTTAGACATAAATTTTTAAAATAGCTCACTTGTTAAGGTCAAATAAAAATTTGTTAAGCTTAAATGTTTATGAGAAATAAATATTTTATTGTGTTATTTGCATACTTTTGGGGGTGCGAATATATTCGAAAATGTTATTTATATTTTATTTTGCAAATATATACTATATGATATATTTTCTTTACCTATAGTTATTTGGCATAATTTTTCAGTGCAGTTATTTCTTTAGTTAAATCATACTTTCATTTAAAATCCCTTTGATTAAAATTTGTAATAATTTTGTGTACTAAAAATGATTAGATATTTTGTAATAATTTTGTATACTAAAAATGATTAGATATATGTATTATTTATAAGTAACGATCTATGTAGCGAGTTCCTTTCAAAAGTAACTTTTAACAACTCTAGTAATTTTATTTTTAATAATAATTTCCAGTTTTTATTCCTATTTTTATAAAAAAAAATAATATGATTACATTTTGTTGCTATAAGTAGCAAATACTTTCCTTATAGATGGTTTAAAATATGGAAACATACAGTAAAAAATAAATAATCATTAATTTGTTTTATCTCCTTTTTTATCTCCTGTTGTTAAGCCAATATCCCAGTTTGGAAGAGACTTTTTCAATTTTCCTTTTATTCTCAAGCCAAGAGGGTCATGAAATCCGCCGACTTAGATCCGAACAAATTAGAGGGCTTTATGCAAAAAGTCAAAATGGAGGTTAAATAAACCTTTATTAATTTAAAGAATGAATATTTCCATTACTAACTTTTAAAAAAATATATGTAATTTAAATTTAGAAAATGGACAATCTTTATGATTCGATACATTTAAAAAATCAATATATTGCGGGAATTTTTAGATAACTTTTAATAATTATTATTATTATCCATAATATTAATTTCAAGTGTAAAAAAACCAGTTTGAAAAAAAAATCTAAAATATATACTTTTTTATGCATGAAAATTATAAAGGATTTTTAAAAAATATTCTTGCATTTTTAGTTAAATTTGATAAAAAATACTTCAAAGATTTTTGCTCAATAACTATTTTGAAGATTTTTTTCCCAAACTCTGAAAAAAATGGGCTTATACATTAGGGCCCTTAAAAGATAGAAAAATAATAAATTTAAAATCACTCGTTATTTTATTTTTTCACTTAGGTTAACCACCTAGTAGATCTAGTTCAAACCATAGATTTATTCACGAATCGCCATACTCGCCTGGTCGTCGTCATAGATGGACTCGATAGTTGCGAACAAGACAAAATATTGCAAGTTTTGGAAGCGGTTAAAACTCTATTTTCGGATACTAAGGCTCCTTTTATCACCATTTTGGCTATAGGTAACAAATGATAATTCTTCAACCCCCCCCCCCTACTTTATTCCAAAAATTATTGATAATTTTTACCCTCCTTTTTTTTAGATCCTCACATAATCATAAGAGCCATAGAATCTAATCTAAATTCGGCATTTCAAAAATCATCCATAAAGGGTTACGATTATTTGAGGAATGCTGTGAGCTTGCCTATCTTCTTGCAAAGACAGGGGCTATTGCAATTCTGCATCGGTAAGGGAGTAAACTCCGATACTCGTTACAAAAATTTTTACAAAGTAAGATGCTATTACTTATTAATATCGTTATTCACCCTTTATTATAAATTTCTTAACCAAAGCTGAAACAGAATAGATTTAAAAATACATAGATCTCTTATATTTACTCCAATAGTCATCCTCATAAACGGCCAATATTCGCTTATACCTTTTAATTTGTAAAATTTAGGATACAAAATTAGATATTTCATTAATGAGGAATTTCTTTTTATCCAATAAAAATATTAAAAATGTTCTGAGCAATAGCTAATGGCCGTACATCTTTATTTGGTTTATGAAGAACGATATGTTTAGCTATAGTAACGGAGCAATGACGGGTGGTTTGCCCTCTAAGAAGCATACGGTTGACAGTTAGATGATTCTTTCTAGACCTTCACATTATTGTGTTATATATTATATGGTGCAGTTAGATACTGCAAAAACATTAGGCGAAATCTTTAAAATTCAGATAAGAAATCACGCACGAAGGAGAAAATAGTCTCTAACATCACTTGTACTCAAGGTGTCTGTAATTAGTGGAGCCTCACAAGTTATGCAGACATTTCGCCCTTAATATCACTTGATTGGTGTTTTAGAAGAAGTGTCTGATCGTAAGGAGCTAGCTTATTATCGGTAGTCGCGAGACTTATGGCTTTAATATTGAGGTTATCGAGTTTCTTTGATGTTTAGCCTTGATGAGGAGGGCATTTTTATTATCCTTACCTTTAATCATGTCACTATTCTTAAAGGATATGGCATCCGGGTTATAAAAATGTTTTGGAATCGTCAGAAATTTTTCCTCAATGCTCTCCGCTCTGTGGAGTCACTCATTCTCTACCTACCATTCCTACCCTCATCATTGACGTGCAAACTACCCCCAGCCAAAACCTACATAGGCACAGACCTGATTAGAGCTGAGTCATATTCGTAGAAATATTTCTAACGACCCCGAAACCATTTGTTATATCCCGTATACCAAAGGGTGCAAGACCTATATCCAAAAATTTTATATCCATACTAAATAATTACCCAGTGAACCACGGTCATTTCTTTTTCATTGCATATAAAGACTCTAAATCCCTGATAATGCTAGCAAAAGGTCAATAACCCAACCAATTAAGGAATCTACTTTTACCCCTTATTTCTAAATTTTTTGTAGCATCATAGAGTTATGGCATGGTAAAGGTAAGGATCACAAAGAACCTCCTAATGAAGGCCAACTAATATCGAAGAAACGTAACCTCAATATTAAATCTACCAAATGTCATGCGACTTTCGACAATATGTTAGCTCCTTATATCAGGCCACTTATTAGGCCCCTTTTTAAAATCACGTGAGATCGAGGAATAAATGCTTGCAGCTCTTCTAATTGCCACCACTCACAAGCTATTAGAAAGGCAATTCTTTCCTTCAAACGTGATACCTCACCTGGATTTGATGGATTTTTACCAATATTTTTGCAGGATCTAATTGTGCCCTATATCACGCAACAAAGTGACGTTCTGGGAAGAAATACCCAACTCGTCAACTATATGCTTTTTGGAGGCATACCACCCGTCATTGTTTCACTATTATAAAGCAAAGCTCATCGCTCTTCATAAGCCGAATAAAAATGTTCGCCCCATCGCTAAACCGCTTGACGACGATTAACTTTAAGAAGATACTCTTCACCGTATCTGATTATGAAAAAAAGAAAGAAAATGTCCCACCAATACACTTAATATTTTTTTATTAAAAATATTGTTGAATCCTAAATGAAAAAAAAATGTGAGATCCTATTCTGATTCTCTCAACCTAATAATTATATATATAATCTATATGGCACTATTTTTTTAATGATGCTTGTAAAAAGGCAAATATTTAGCTTGAAGGTTTGTTTCCCAAAAGAAATTTTTTTTTCCGGTATTCTTTTTTTATCTGGAAGTTTTTCTTACGATTATGGGGTGTGTTGAATTCTTTAATTCATATTCTAAAAATGGAAAATGATATTAAATAAGTGCTATTAGTCGCCCCTCTTAAAAATTATGACTATTGGCAATTCTCAAAAATCTTTGTTGATATTTTTTTTATTTTGAAATTAATAAACATTTTATATTTTAAAATAATATTTATTCCTCAAGAAATCAGGCCTTAGCCCTGTTTACTCTTCTTCAACATTAGCAGGACCTCACACAGCCAGTCTTAAATCTAAGCCTATCAATCAAATTTCGTCAAAATTCCAGCTACCTTTCAATCAACTCAAGGGACCTCGTTCTAGCTTTACAGGTTTTTTAAAGCCTACCGTTCCTTATTATATCTTTCTGATCTTAGACCTGCCTAAAATTTGTACGAAATTAATCACATTTCTTAAAAAAAAGAACCATATTTATATTATACACTTTTTATTAAAAAAGACTTCCTTATTAAATTTGCTATAATATAAATTATAATAATATACCCGTGGCTAGTATTGTTAAATAGCTTTATTACGGCCGGATTTAAACGTCCAAGTTTTTCCTCACTTAAATTTAAAGATCCAGACAAATATTTTAAGGTTAAAACTTAACTAACCCCGTTTGGAGTTTGTAAAAATTAGGTGATTTAAACAACACTATTCGTAGTTGAATTGCGACGTAGCCCAAAATTTTTTTTTGTTACTTTTGAATAAAACAGCTGCTCGCATATTATCTAACTTTTAACCCCAGCGCATCTCGTAGAGATAAGCGGAGTTTGGACTGAATGGTTTCCGGTTACAGTTCAGTATATTTAAAAAAAGTAATTTCCGATTGTTAAGAAATTTAAAAAAAACGGTCCCTTTGAAAAGTCAGAACTGGTTTCCAGGTGCAATGAAACAAAATCCACCCTCTTAAAATGAATCGCGCAACATTTTTAAATCATATTTTTTAATATGTGGGTTCCGATATAAATAAATTTTAAGAATGAGGTTCTGGTTTAGATTTTCGAACTATGCGTGACTCAAATTCGGACGACAGGCCTTAACCATAGACAATGTCTATCGAGGTAGTCGTAATAAAATAAACGGAAGGTCACATCACATGATCTCAGTTATTTCTGCCACCTTGCAACTCAATATAATTTAATATTTTTCTCAATTCTATGTTAATCTATCATTTTTTTAATATAGAACGGTTTCTTACACACTTTCCATAATTTTTATTTCCAAGTAAGGACACTTTATTTGTGGAAATTAATAATATTTTTACATAATAAAATATTTTTTTAAACAAAACTTGTCAGTTGTCGCATCTCACACGCCATTTAATCTTTAATAAAACAAAATCCTTAAGAAAAACAAATCTTGTTTTTTTTATTATTATTAACGATTAAATTGGTTGTATATATTACGCGAAAGTCGACAAACTATTATATTTTTTTCGGAATTTTTTAAAAAAAAATTTAAGGGAAACTTGCCTTAGCTTGAAGCGGCCTATAATAAATAAAAATTGTTCTAGAATGTTTTTTTAATAGTAATTGATAGTTTTCTCCTTATTCTAATAATCAAAAATCGATTCTTTTTTTTAAAACAGGAAGTGTCATAAGTTGCTCGCAAGGTTACAAAGGATCTTCTCTCTTAGTCCTTTCATCGACAGCGCCCGAAGATTTGAAGAAAATTTTTACGAATGACCATTATTTTAGCGATGTCAATCCCAGGAGTCTAAGACGGTTGACCAATATAGTTTACGTTTCTGGTTTGTTAGTTATTTTTTAAAAAAAATTTCTGAATAATTATTTTTGATCTTCTTTGAAACAGTTTTAAGATATGACCTTATAGAAAGATAAACGAAAAGAAGAATTAGTGAGTATCTTTTATTAGATTCATCATTTGATTCCTTACATAATAATTATATTGAACATCTGGATATAAATATGTTTGATTAGTTTCATCATTAATTTCATAATATCATAACATTTTTTATAGCATAATATTCCGGAGTTAAAATATGAATTACATTTTATGCTGTCCTTATCAACTATTCATCGTCCTTTGTATATGATATTAATTTAACATGAAATAAGAAGCAATCATTTTAAAGTGTTAATATCTTAACAGTCGTTCGCAGTGTTAATAAAATTATATAACAAACTATTAAATTAAACAATCAAAGGTTACTTTATGGTATAAAAAATTTAAATTATTATTTTATTTATTTATTTTTATTGTTAAAAACGTGACATATCAACAGAAATGGAAAAAATGCACAAAATAAAATTAAAATTTGTTTTAGGTCGCTTGATGAAAGCATTCAGCATAGATTTTCAATGGGTTAGACTCGCCACTTGGGTTAACATGATCGAACAATGGCCATACCGATCCTCTTGGATCATACTGTATTTCGAAGAGAATGAACATTATTTGGATAATCAAATCACTCTCAAACAAATTTATGATTGGTTATTTATTTTTATTAAAAAAAATTTTTTCTTTAAATACCTTTTTTTTTGTTTTGTTAATTACATTACAGCTTCAACAAACGGTTTAATAAACACTAGTGTTGTTAAACGGCTCGATTTGAGCCGATTTTTAAAAACAGCTAACTTAATATTTAGCCAGAAAAGTATTGCCTAAGCCTGGAGACTTCGCTAATAGATGTATAAATCTTTATTCTATCTAAGACCAAAATCTTCAGTATTGTGTAATATTTTTCTGGCTAAAATATTGAGTTAGCCGTTTAACAACACTAATAAACACGATCATTATCTAGGTAGAACCAGATTGGTTTGCTGCCCCCACCCTCCAATACTTTGCTTTGTTTAATTTGGGAATTATTGAGGTAAGAACTAAAAAGACCCAATTTCCCAACTCATTCGTTATCCTTGCTATCTACATCTCCCGCACTTTTCCATGGTCCTTATCCCTATCACCTCAATCATATTGCATTTCTTTTCTCTACCTTTCTTCCAACCAGAATTTCATATCATGTTTGAAATACCACAGTTATTTCAAATTATAATATCCATCGTATTGCCTCTACACCTATCTTTTTTCCATTCAATCCTATACTGGTCCGTTTCTCAATCTGAACTATCATATATCTGATCATTCTCGTCACCGTTTTTTCCAGTTTCCGTTAGATTACCACCTTAATCATCCTTATTCCAATATAACTTTTCACTGAACTTTCCAAGACTTTTCCTTTCAAAGCGAGATAGATCTCTTAATTGATTAAAACGGGGCTGCTAACTAATCACACATTTTATCCTTTCCATCGCAACTTTTATCTGAAAAATTCCATTACCAATATCAAAGGCAGTTATTCTGCTCTTCTCTCACACTTTTTACAAGAAACATCCTGTGAGCGATTCCTCTCATTTCAACCACCATCTTATGTGAACTCATTTTCGATATATGATACAAGGGAGTTACTCCTACCAACCCGTTGGCCCATACTCTGCTCTGCTGGATCTACTGTTTTTTAAACAATATTTTCTATTGATTAGCCTCCAATCTTTACCTTTTCCAGCATTTGCCTTCAAATATTTTAGTATTTTGCTTCCATGCTCTTTATTCCATTTTACTTTTTGCCATTGGCATGAGAATGAAAGTTGTTGCTACCATTCTATCGTAATGAATGAAATATTTATTAAAAGAGGAGCAAAATAAATTTTTGAAATTAGAATATTTTATTGTATCCTAATTACAATTATCTACTATATAATCAATTAATATTTAAAGAAAATAAGTAAAAAATTATATAAATATTTTATTTCATACAAACAATTAACATAAAATAAAACTTTATCTAACGTGACACAATTTATAACACAACAATGAAAACCTAAATAATATGCTTAATGTTTATTTTAAGTATTCTATTATGGGGGTAGTGTGATGTGAAAATTATTTTTATTATATTTAATTTATATAATTAATTATTTGACAAAACTATTGTTTCTTAATGCAGTTGTTTTTAAATACCCCATTACTAAAAATCTATTTTATACAATATTAAATATACACTATTATTTTTTTATTTTGAAACTAACCCTACCCCATATATGTGTTTTTATAGACTAATAAATACCAACCCTACTAGACAACACCAGGTACTGGCCTATATATAGTTCTTTTTATTTAACCAATTTTGAATATCATTTTGGTAAGGAATTATCTAAATATTACAATTAACATATAACTTTACGCTGAAAAAAGCGAAAATGAAGTTTAAATGACATAAGAAATTAGATTTTTTTTAAAAAAACGCGATATTTCAATAATGCGAATACGAAAGAAATTAAACTACAAAAATAAAATGTAATATATCAATTATTTGCATATTTAACAAATATATTAAGGGTAATTATAATAAGTATTAGAAAACTTAACTCGGACAGGTACTAATTTTTAAATGGGACTTGAATATCTTTTAGAACATTTGAGGTTGATTGACAAAAAATATTTTCTTAGCCGGAATAAACTCACAAAGAAGAGATACATCACAGAGCTCAAATATTAGTTTTTTAACATTCCTCTCTGCTCCCAATTCATGTTGTTAAATCGCCTACCTTTAGCTAACTCTAATACGTCAGTCTTTAGACTACATAAACCTCTGATTTAAGCTAAACTTAAAGATAGAGGACAAGTCTTTTTTTTAAGATAACTTCGCTCATTATAACTTTCATTATCATTTACATCATTTCCCCCTTCATATTAATTTCTTTTAGGTCATTTCTGAATAGAAAATTTTTCAAAGCGGTTTTGGGGCATATTTACAGTAATTTCTTTTTTATTTCCAAACATAGAATAATAATTTTTCGTATTAATGCTTTTTTTATATATAATGTAATATTTTTTAAAAAAACGTAATGGATCCTTATTTTAGACGCCATTTAATCGTTGATAAAAAATTAAACAAACAAACCAATTTGTAATTTGGAAATGGCCTTAGGGTGAAAATAAATTAAAAATAATTTTTTTATATTTATAATTTTTTTTAAAAAAATACTACAAAAGTGTTTCCCCATTCATACCTTCCTCGCGGGAGATAGAACCTTTTTTAGAATACGACAAAAACGACGTCAAGCTTGTCTATATGCTCTCAGGCTCTAACGTTAAATTATTGGTCGCTGATATGAAACTATTTCTACCCTTCAGTGTTAACCTTGATCCCTACATTAAGAAAGTCATTAGAGGTATTATAATTAATTAAATTATTTCGTTTTTAAAATTTATATATATATAAATAATCAATCGTCCAGATTTTATTATAAATTTTAAAAAAGAAAAATTAAATTAAATTTTTTTTTAAAAAACTTGACCCAAAAATTTTTTTTTTTATTGATTAAATATCTAAAGTAAATCAATGAATAGTTTAATATGCTATGGAAAAAAAATTTTTTTTTAAATTAAATTTTTCTTTGATCATATTTCTAAAGAATACATACGAATTGAATAATTTATTTTATAAAATAAATTTTTTTACTGATAATTTTTGTAAAAACAAATTACGGGAAAAAGGGGGAGGAGGGTGATTTTATTTGATCGGTATTTTAAATTAACATCTTATATAAATAAATTTGTTATACAGAGCACATAGGAGACATTCTTAAACATAAACCAATTGCTAGTGGTAGTATCAAAGAATTGGATCCTAGTGAAATACAAAAGGCCATAATCAATTCCTCTCATATCAGTGATCATACTCGCATTCCTAAGAGTAATAAAGTAAGTCTTAATTTATTTTTGAAAGATAAATACTTTATATTTAATTTAAATTTTATTTCATAGAGTATAATTGACAAATTTTTTATCATTATCATCGATTGAACTAGCGTGAATTTATATTTTTTTTTGATATGACAAATCAAAATATTTTATTTTTATTGTAGTTGACAGAAATCGTAAAATTATTTTTTTTTAAAATTTATTTTTCTAGTTTTATCCTGAGCTACTACCATCGGATAACGAAATGGATTCTTTGGAAAGAGAAAATTTAAGTTAAAATTTTTTTATTACTTTCTTTAAAATATAGTTTGTTGACTTTTAAATTAAAAATGTATTTTTTTTTAAAAAAAAACATTTTTTTATAGTTCAAGTTGAAAATGTATCTCACATCCAAAATCTGAACACCGAACAGAGAGTTATTATATCTTCCTTGTTCGAAGTAAATAAAATATATATAATAATTATGTCTAATTTTACTAAAATCTAAAATAAATTGATAAAATAATTTTAAATTCATAATTATAAAAATTAAGTTAGCCATTATTTTTTTCCAAAGGCAGAGGGAAGGTGAGTTTTGGTGACTTCTCCCCGTAAATTGAAAAGTAAAAAAAGTCAATAAGAAAAATAACGAACCAAAATAATCGATCATATTTAAATGGCTGATTTTAATTTTATATATTTAAAATATAATAAAATACAATGTTCCTTTTATTTATTTGCTCTCCTCTACTCCCTTCATTTTAACCGTTTACATATTACCTGGGTTGAACAGTAGCCCCCCCCCCCTTAACATATCGTGTATCTGGCTACTTTTCACAACTCCGAATATTTCCCGAGAAAGAGGATGAAATTCTTATATTTATTTTATTTCAGAACTTAAAAATCTCCAAAAAACCGGCTCAACTAACTTCTACGGATATCTCGGATCTCATGGCCCAAATACCGGATTTGAATGATGCGCAGGATTTAAAGAACTATCAAAATATCGTCAAAAAAAATAATATAAATGGATTCGTTCTTCTGACCTGTGATAAACATGAATTACAAAAAGTAATAATTTTTTAAAAAAAATTTGAGCCTTTTTTCTTTTATTATAAAAAATTCTTCTATGAGTTTTTTTTGGTATGAGGCTTATTAATTCTGAAAATACAATATTAACTGATTCAAATCTAATTATTTATTTTATTTATAAATTCCAATATATTTTTAGATAATATTTTTCCTTGGTTACCTTTTATATAAATATAGTAAACTTTCTACATTAAGCGTAAATTAGAGGTCTGCAATGGGCGAAGTTTTAGCCAACTTGCCCACACCCGCTCGGAAAATAGACGGGCATTGGCTGGTTTTCTAAAATATTTTAAACATTGGGCAAGGGGTGGGCGGGTTAAAAAATATTTTTTAAGTGATGGGTGGTAATGAGTGGTGAATTTTTAAATGACTAGAACAGACTTCTATTAATTAGAAAATCTTAAAATAAAACTATCCATTTAAAGATTTTTTATTGGGTTGACAGGCGGTTTAAAATAAATAAAACAATAAAACGCCCAGTAGACCTCTAATGGGAATCATTTTGATCATGTTCCCATTGGAATTTTTAGATAAAATTTTATACAGTTATTTTTTGGTATAAACAAAAAAAACTTGAAAGTTTAAGTAATTAAATATTGCAAATAGGTCCATTGTTCCCAATTGATAAGATAAGGACGTATGTTTATAAGAAGACTATTCATTTCTTAGTTTTTAACATTTTTATTTTATTTTCTTAAAAAATTCAAAAAGGGGGCCTAAATTTATTTTATTTTATCTTTGTTTTGATTCACCACAGATTTTACCTATGAATTTTGGGGATTGGCACATCTTTATGGGATTCATATTATATTTGCGTTACCTCGCTAATTCCACCTTGCCACAGCCTGCAAATTTACCTAACAAAAGTATTATTAATTTTTAATTTATTAATTTTCATTCATCAGTGGTATAAAAAAAATCTTAGTAAAATATAAACTAGAAATGAAAGGGATCATATAATATCGCATAATTAAATGTTTTGTGATTTTTATGGACAAAAAATCTTTCATGATAAATTCACAACTTTTTTTAATGAAAGATTTTGATGTTCTTAATAAAAAATCTTCATTTTGTTATCTTCAAAGATTTCTTTGCTCAAAACTTTGGGGTTTTTTTTGAAAAAATCCTATTAAAACTATCTATAGTTTTTATTTTAAAGGTTAAGAATGCCATCTTTTTAGTCCTCTAAAAAACAGCGAAACTTAGTTTTTAGCCAATAACTATTACACCATAGCTAGTATTGTTAAACGGCTCGATTTAGCCGATTTAAAATAACGTCTTTAACCAAAATAATATTGCGCAAGCCTCGAAATTTCACTAAAAGATGTTAGAACCTTTCTATATATGGGCAAAATCTCCAGGTTTGTGTAAAATTTAAAGGCTAAAATATTGATTCAGCCATTTTTAGAAACCAAGCCTTTTAACAACTATCATACTAAATTTTTTTGAAAATATAGCATAATTATATTAATTTTCGAATCAATCCTTGGCTAATTTTTTTATTAAATGATTTTTAGTCATTACCTAATTATGTTTCTTGGGGATTCACAATTGATTGTTTGATGAACACAATTGTGGATTGTTTCATCCCACACATAATAATAGGTTACAAAGCTGTTTTAAGCGCCATTTATTTTTTAGAACCAACCTATTGGAATGATTGAACTTATTATTTAAAACAAAATGCGTTTTAATTGAATTTTATTAAATTTTATCTGAGAAGTAAAAAAAAAAAGGAGAATAGAGAAAGAAAAAATGAGGGGGGAGGGGATAGGAATGAATCTTATTAATAAATATAGCTTTAAAAAAATACACATTTATATATGACAGGTAGTTTGATCGAGAACAATAGATTTCTTTACGATGCTGCGAATATAGAACGATTGGTAGTAAAATTGATATTTTACCCCTGCGTTCAAAGCTTATTTACTTTTTTTATAGAATAAATGTAATAAAACACAACTGTTCAAAGTTTTTTGTTAGACACTTATATCATATTACTTTATCGCTTACGAAAAATCAGCTTTGAACGTAGCCTAAAATAATTTACTATATTATTTTTAGTTTTTAAAAAAATACATATTGTTTAAATTAGCCAGGTTAGATGGACCTTGTTCGCAAACTTTTTAAAATTTTGTTATATTAAAAAATTTTTGTAGTGTGCATAAATTGTGCGTTTTAACCATACTTTTTTAATAATGTTAAAATTGAAGTTGCCCTTATATTTTAGAATTATTATAAAAAAGAATTGGTTTTTGTAAATTATATTATCGTCTGTCTTTTTATTTCATAGAACTATTCCATTCTAAAAGATAAGTTTTTATATTTTGTATATTTTATATAATATTTAATTTATATATAATTAAACAACTACGAAATGAATTTTATGACCCCCTCCCTTATTATTCTTATCTCGGTAACAAGGTTTTGTCGGCCTCTTTGCCAAACGAGTCATTAAGGAACGTTTCATATAGAAATGTACCAAGTATGAAAGTATTGAAAAAAAGCAAACCAGTTTTTCTCAAAATGGTTTCTAAGTTATACGGTGATTTGACTAATTTGCCCTATACCATTTAAAATGCATTATTTACGTTTGAAACACTCAATTTGTGCTCACTATTATAAAATATTATTTTATAAAATTAAAAGGAACCGGTGATTATTATACCTAAAAATTTTAAAGTTTGATATTTTTTTATCTAATAAAAACATATTCGATAAAAATTTTGAAGTTTTTTTTCAATGTGAATTAATGAGGGAGGATATTGATTATAAGATTTTTCATCTCGATTCAATTTCAATGTTTTTTAATAAATTAAAGAGAGGAGATCATATGATTCAGAGTTCTGAGAGCCATATTCCTGGTAGGCTTCATAACGATCTCTCCAAAACATCCATGTCTCATATCGAACGAGAAGTTAAAACTTTGTATTTATATTATTTGAGTATTATTCATATCTTTATAATCGCCTATATTTAAAAAAAGGTCGAACAAGAACAGGAGCTATTAAGTGCTGCTATTTCAAAATTCGAAGAAAATGATATCAACATGTTAGATTCGGACGCCGAAGAAGATTATGAAAACCAAAATGGTTTTTATTCGCTAGAAAAGAATATATTATATAATAAACTGTATTAATTTTTAGATGAAATAAATACTTCAGCCGTTTCTAAGGAGATATCTCCTATTCAATCTTCTGCTCCCACCCATTATTTTAGAAATTCCATCAATTTGCCCTATTTCAAAAATTTTAAGAATCCCAAAAAATTTAGCTTATCTATCCCTTCAACAAATACTCTCAATGAATCCATCGATGATTCTAGAACCGAAAATACCAAAAGGGAGCTGAATAAAAAAAGGTTTTATTTACATTAGTTTGTTTATTATGCGATTTTTTTAAAAAAAATCTCACTAATTAATATTAGAAACTATCGATTCAAACATCATATTTTTTTAGAATGTCTAAATGTCCCTCAAAATCTTATAAAATAAATTTTTTTTCACCATATAATATGTTTAAGGCTTGAACCCCGCGATTTTAACTTTCCCTCTAACAATCATTCCGAAAATTTCCCGCTTCTAAAATACGAACAAAGGCCTGATACCTCTAGTGAAACGACTACCATCCATTCTCCCGACCTCGAAACAAGTATATTCAAATCTTTATTAAAGTGACTCTTCGTTTGATCAACTCTTAGCTATAATCACCGAATTTATGAGGCGCGTTTGATCATTTATTTTAAAAAATCTTAATTCTATAATAAGAAAGTAAAAAGTCCTTCAAATGCTAAAGTAAATATTCGTTTTAACAATAAAGTTTTTATAAATATCGCTATTCTAAAATAGCTCAGAAAGAATCCGAAAATGAAAAAAGGTCATCAGACCGGCTCTCTATGAGAAAAGCTTCCATGAAGGAAGAGGAATTAAATTTGATAGGGAAAGGCGAGAGACTTAAAAAAAAGATTAAAACCCACGAGGAAGATCCAGCATTTGCCAGTCTCGATTATTGCCCACAGACCGTTATGCACCTCACGAGGAAGGAATCTAAAGTCAAGGACAACTTGGAGCGGTTGCAGTATAGGAAAAACAGTTTGGGTTTTAAATATTATATAAATAAATTTTACACTCTTTTATTGACTTTATGAAAAAAAGCGCGTCTAGTGAATCCTTGAAATGCACCAAAAATTCATAACTTATCCTTAAAAATAATTTTTGAGCATTACTATTTTAGGGCCCAAAATTTTAAATGAAATTATACTGCGTACCATAAAAAATATATCAAGCTTTAAATTCTGAAAATATTCCGGCCATTCAACCTATCCTAAATTCTGACAATCCGGAGAGTAATATTAATTCTGCATCTTCTTCATCTACTACCTCCACATCTAGCAACTCTCTACAGGTCTAGTGCATTTATTGATTGCATATTTATCTTATTCCTCTCAACAAAATTCTGAGTTATATCTTTTTTTTGCAAATATTGATTTTATTAGGCTACTGATAAACCTGTAACGGACGACGGTACTATGCAAGATAATTTAGCAAAAACTGAACAAATTACTTCTAATGTCGAAAATTCTGAAGTTGTAGGGAAGAAAGCAACACTCGGTTTGATTGATTTTAAAAGTGACAAGGAATCAGTTCATCCATCGCAGACAGAAATAAAAAAGTTTTCAGATATTATATTTAAATAAAAATTAATAACCCATAATCATCTTTTTAATCAAAAACTAAAATATATTTCCAAACCTGCAAGGATACTCATTTAAGGTCCGGTTTTATTTGAAAACAAAATTCGAGCCTAGACCGCTATTTTTAAATTTGGCTTGCCCTCCAGATTTAATTTTTTTGACCTGGGTCCAATTTTTCACAATCCCTGCCTTAAAATCTTTAAAAAATCCGCTCATTGCTATGTCCTAACATGAAAGAAATTCTAATTTTATTTTGATAAAAGAAGATAAGCCATTAATTGATAAAATTAGATATTAATTTATATGGGTTCCACTTACTGGGATCAACCAGATCAGGCCTTAGCCCATATTTAGTCCGTGAGGTAGGAAGAGATGAAAGAATACTGTTCAAATTGAACAAGTTTTTACTTGAAAATATTACGGCCCACAATCTATCCTACTAACAATATTCCATCTTACCGATTGTTTATTTTTTTTACAAGATAGGTTTTAAATTTCAATTTATTAAAGTTAAGATTGACTTTCCCCTTCCCCAATGCAGACGATAATTCTTTTTAAGTAGCCTTACTTTCTTCTAATATCGTCTGTTTTTATTATTTCTACCATTTTATTTATTATCATTTTTTTCCTAAAGGACTACAAAATAATTTAACATAGGAAATATTCGAAATCTGATCCCAGGATCGATATAATTAATGATGGAAGCAATAACGTTGTCATTATTCAACCTAAAGACTCAAACATTAGCGCCGGACCGCTTAAAAGTGCTCGATCGGTGAAAAGTTTAAAAAAATCATTTTTAGATTGGATTTAGATATTCCCAAAATGCATGGCAGTCTTAATGGATCATCATCATTGCGTTGTGATGAATTACCATTTTTCAATGATATTTTGAATATTGTATTTAATTGTGATGAATCTCCCAAATTTCCCCATTTATACTTTTTTTTTAAAAAGTAATTAAGATCTATATAATTTTTTTTAGTCAGTTTTGTGAAATTATCATATTACTTTGTAATCATCTTGTAAGATGTGTTATATAATGCAAATTTTTATAAAAAATATCAATATATAGTAAAAAAAAATTTTAGGAATTAATTTCGACATTATAATCATGCCCAGGATCTTGTATATTTGATTTTATAAAAAAATATATTTTTATATAAATCATGTGGTCAATAATAAATCTAATGGTCATGTTTATAAATAAAAGTATATAAAATAAATTTACAAAAATATAATTATTATATAAGTTTTTAACAAATAGTTTTACTTTTGTTATTGTATTTATAAGATATTTTTATACTAACTTATGAATAAATGTAAGTTACAAATATAATATATAAAAAGTGCCGGCTGTGTCCAAAATATCAAAAAATTCGATTAGCACACTTTTAAAACCATCGAAAGAGAATAAATAAGCTTTTTTTAAATATAAAAATAAAAACATTTCTAAAAATTCCTTTGATCGTATCTTTAGGTGAGATGAAAAGGCTTCTCTTCAGTATTCATCCATGTTATATACTATCTTTTAAAATAAATTAAAAAGAAGAAACAAAAAAGAATATCAAAAATTTTGTTGCAGTCGTTTTTTAGCGTCGATGGCATCGAGTATGGGTTTTCTTTTGCTCTGGTACCTGGACCGCAGTTCCTCGATTTCCTTTTCCATCTCGGGATCAAGTAGATCCATTTTGAGTTTTAATTCGCAATATGAAAGATTGTTGCATTGCGCTAAAAATTCGTTATTCATCACATCATGATAAAACTGTTTTTTAATTTAAAAAAATATATATATAAAGGACAAATTTCGAAACAAATTAATAGTTATAATATTATAAAGTTCTAACTCCAATTTTGGTACATTATATTACGGTTTATAAAAAGTTTTCCCTGTAATAATTGTCATTTTTAAACTAAGTAAATCTCAACTAAAAAACTGTTTCCGAATAGTTGAGATATTTCCATTGTTAATATTTATTTTTTTAAAATTTCTTTCATTTTTTTACTAAATGATCTGAAGAATAATCGTCATTTTTATATGAAATAGAATTTTCGGAAGAGCTAACAGTGTCGGTTGTGACAATTCCGCTATTATCATAACTAATTTTGTTATTATCGAGGTAAGGGTCGGAATTATATGGTACATCTAATTGGTAATGATTGTTACTATTCGGGATAATTTTAGTATTTTCGTTTATTTTTTCGAAATTTTTGTATTTGAAATTTTTTTCAGTCTTTTCCTTGTCATTTATACGCTCGAGAAACAACGGTATTTCAGTAGGGTTTTTGGTTGTTTCTGAGTTTCGTGAAATTTATTAAAAATTGAAAAATAACATTTTTATTATATATAAATAAGGTTGAATTTTGCACAAGTTTGCTGCAACGCTATTCAATTAATTTGAGTTTATATAATCTTGTAATGAGATCAATATAATTTAAAGATACAAATTCATGTACGGATCTTAGGGCAGAATAAAAAAAATACTTATCGGCGAATCAAATTAAACAGATTATCTTTATATTTATTATTGTAACTAATGTTAAGTATTTTCTCTATTTAGACAAAAATTGTATGTAATAAAATTCAAAAATCTAAAATGCCGTATAAGACTTACTTTTGATAGTATTAAAAATTTCTTCGTTGTGGTTATTCAGAGAATTTTCATCCTCCCCGCTACTGCTCTCATTAATGATCATAGTTTTCAACGATTCATCCATTATAGAACTGACAGTTTTATGAGTTTTTATAGTTGTTTCTAAATGCATTATAAGGATAAAACGTAAAAAAATATCGATTAAAATAGACCAATAACATTTATTTACTGCTCATCGTTTGAATCCCTCTAAAACCATTTTAAAAGATTTGGACTGGTAAAATTTTTTTAAAAAAAAACAGGGTAAAAATGGAATATATTACCTGGCTCAAAATTCTGACTTTCGCAAATATGATCTCTGATATATTTTTAGAGTAAAATTTGTATAAAATATTTTGTTTAGATTTTAAAAAAATATAACGAAATATGTTTAAAAAAACGAAAGAATATTGGTTTTAAAAATTGGAAAGCATATTAATAGCTATTATGTTATTAAAATAACTAGTTAATTTTAAAATATATATATACATATTTCATTATTTATCTTTATATGATGATTTTTCAAATTTAAAATTACCGCTTATGTCTCACTTACACCTAGTAATGTTGTAGACGTTTGTATAGTAGCTTATTTTTTACAGCACACCTTTAGGCGCCAATTTTGAATATATTGTATTATTTATATATTTTTTCAGTGCAAATAAATATTTTATATTTTTTTCAGTGCAATTCTTTATTTAAATTGTATTTCATTTAAATTCTTTGATTAAAATTTGTAAATCATAAAGTTATTTTTATAAAAAAAAATTATATTAAAAATACGATAAGTTATATATATAATTTATAGAGTACTCTAAGCTGGTTGCTTTAAAAAATGTAACTCGTAATTTTTTAAGAGTATAAATTGTAACTAATTGCTTTTCAAAAGTAAAACGTTACTGAGTTACAAGCAAAATAAGAAAGTTTTGGCACTTTGCCAAAACCGAAAAGGAAAGAACATGTTATAAAACTTGGCAATTATTTAGTACATGCAATGTGTAGCCAGTTAATTGATCCTCCAGAATCTTCAAACCGTATACCAGTGGAATGAAGCGTTTGTGAATTATAGGCAAAATAGAAAAGTTTTGGCATTTTGCAAAAATTTAAAATTAGAGCAATCATTTTTTTGTTAAAGTCAATATTTAGTGCCTTAATTGATCCTCCGTATTCTTCTAACGGAATGTCAAAAAATTAAACGGAAGTGAGCTATAAACAAAATAAAGAAAGTGTGAATTTTTAACCGAAACCTATGCCATTGTGTAGCCCGTTAATTGACCTTCAATCCGTAGAACAAGCAAAATAAAAATTGGCCCTTTGCCAAAGCCTGACGATGAATAATATTTTATCATTTAGTGCTTCAATCTGTATAGTAGGCAAAGTTAAGGGAAAAATGTTAAAAGCAAAAATAAAAACTTTGGTCAACTTTACGCTTAAAAGTCGATTGGAAGCACTAATGATGAAACTTACATCATTCTTTAGTGGTTCGTAATAGGTTAGTGCTTTACACTTTTATAGCCAAATTCAGGGATTCGAACCGAACCCGGAGAAGTGAACCCGGGTTTTTAGAAAAAAACTCTGAACCCGAACCGAACCTGGATCCCATTTATAAAATTTTCAAAACCCCGAACCGAACCCAAGAATTTTATTTGAACCCGGGTTCAATCGGGTTCAGTGTATTATTTAAAATCATATTATAATATATGTAAATACAAATATTATATTTTCAAATTTCCAATTAAATGAAGTCTTAATAAATTTTAAACAACTTAATTCATTTATGCCATTTTTAAATTTATTCTCGATTCCTATTGGAGTGTTAAAAAATTTTAAACAATTGAATTAATTTACGCCATTTATTTTTAAATTTTTATCTTATTATTCTTAAAGATTATTAATTAGAAGAAAATGGTTAACAAATCAAAGTAAAAATTATTATATTGTTAATTTAAAAAATTCTAAACATCTAACTTAAAAATTGTTAAATGTAGGGCAGTTTTTGTGAACATATATGCTAATCATTTATTTTTGGTTCAGTTTAATTTTTACAAGATATTAATGAAGTGCATATTATAAATGAAATTAAATTTATAAATATCTCTTTTTTAATTCTGAAATCATTGCTATTTAAAAAAATTGTTCTCTTTTTATAGATTTAAGATTAAAGATAAAGTCATATTTGATAAGCATTTTACCCTTAATACAATAGAAAAAAAATCAATATGTTCATATTGCAAAGTAAAATGTCTGGTAATCACTTGTCAAATTTAGAAAGACACTTGGAAAGAAATCACAATGAATATTTAAATTATTTAAATGAAAAAACCAAATATCAGGAATTGTTATTGGCAAAAAACCTAAAATTAATATAGAAACCTTTTTTCCAAAAAAGCATATAAGTATAAATATATCATCTAATGATTTGATGAGTTCTATACTAGAACTTGTTACTGTAAATGGCCGGCCTTTATCAATTATTAAAGATTCGGGATTTCAAAGAATTATAAATCCACTCCTATCTGGGCTCAATTTAGTTATAAACAAAGAAAATTTATCCAGAACTATTAATAAAACAGCCCAATCAATTAGAGACAAAATATCGAGAGAGGTAGAAGGAAAATTAATAAGTTTAAAAGTTGATGCAGTTCAACGACTAGATAGGTCAATTCTTGGTGTAAATATTCAATTTATATCAAAGTCCATTATAAATTTGAGGACTCTTGGAATTGTAGAGCTGAAAGAGAGATGTACAGGAGAATATATTTAAAACTTTACTAAAATTTAAAATTAATATTCAACAAATATACACAATTACTTCTGATAATGGTTGTAATTTTTTAAGAGCTATAAAGCTCCTGCAACCTGAAACTGATTCTGATATAAGGAGTGAATCAGCAGATGAGGAAAATATGGATGTAAATGTATATAAATATGATATTGATGATATACAACATACTTTTTTATCAACTATTATATCCTATCCGATTTATAGTGTACGGTGTGCAGCTCACACACTTCAGCTGGCACTTCAAGATGCTATAAAATTATCACCTATTGTGGAAACCATTGCAAAAGCTAGGAACCTAAATTTAAAATTAAGACATCCCACTTACCAAAAGTTATTAAAAAATATGAAACTCCCTAAGCCTGTGTTAGATTGCCACAGATGGCATTCAACCCATGATATGTTAGAAAGGCTGATTTTACTAAAACCCAATATCGAAGATTTTTTTACAGAGCAATCTGATTATTTATTGACTGAAGATTGGAAAGAGATAATAACGATTGTTGAAATTTTAAAACCGCTAAAAATCGCAACCAAACAATTCCAATCTGAACAGTTAACACTGACAGATTTTTATGCAGCATGGTTAAGATGCTGCATCGAACTGGAAAAAAATCCAAACCATTTTGCTCAATTACTATATTCTTGTCTTAAGAACAGAGAAGAAAGGTTTATAAAGAACGAAATTCTCTTAGCTGCCATATACCTGGACCCAAGATACAAGGTTAATTAAAAGCTTAGTAAATTAATTATTTTAGATTTATATTAAAATTGTTATTTATTAAATATTTAAATATAAACAATATAAATCCTTAAATATTACAGGTATTACTTAATGATGATGATAAGATTTGTGCGAAAAAACATCTTGTCAATTTATGGAGACAAATTAAAAGCTTAACAACGCCGATTTTATCTGATGATATTAGTTCCGATGAAGTTATTGAACAAGAAGATGATTTAGAGAAATTGATACAACTTAAAGAAAGGCAGGAGAAAATACTTAAAAGAGGGCCAACGATTGCTGAGAAAAATATTGGAACAATAATTACTGGATTTAGCGATTATAAAAGATTAGATAAGAAGGAAAATATTTTGCATTTTTGGGAGTCTGCTAAGCTGGAACACCCTGAATTATATATTTTATCTAAAATCTTATTTGCTGTTCCTGCAACCCAAGTTAATTTTTCATATTTTCACATATAAATACATTTAACATAGGTTAGCGTTGAAAGATCTTTTTCACATTTGAAATTCATTCTTTCACCACATAGATCGAGGATGAGTGAACAACTCTTGGAAGATATTATGCTAATACGTCTAAATAAAATTTTTAAAATTGATACATGACTATATGCTTTGTATTTTTAACTATATTTGCCTATAAATAAAATAAAAAATTTATTTTTTATATCAAATTTATGTCTAGTTTTTTATTATGATTTAAATATAGAATTTTTTTTATCAACTCAAAAATTCTTGAACCCGAACCGAACCAAACCCGGGTTCAAAAATATTTCCCTGAACCGAACCCGAACCCACCTTTTTTTTATACCCCGAACCGAACCCGGGCAAAAATTTTGTCGGGTTCGCATCCCTGGCCAAAATTAAGAAAAAAAGTTATTAACAAAAAAATGGTGGCTCACCAAAACAAAAACTAGGGCAACGACAAACATCCTATTTTTGCCATTATTTAGTGATTAATTAGTTAATATAAATTTCGTAATTGATTTGATTAACCGCCTTATAAATTTTTTTATGAGCTATATAAATGTTTCAAGGTTATAATTGCTCCCGGGCTGGCCTATTAAAATCATGAATTTGTGAGGCCAATAATAAAGCTCGAAAGTTATGTTTCTGTCATAAAAGTACAAAAAATATTGTATCTATCCGTTTGTTATTTATGGATAATAATGTTGTTCTTTTGCTATTATAATTCTATGGTCAAAAATGATTTTCATGCAAACTATTCATTTTACTATAAATATTAATTTTTTCTTATATTTGTTACTATAATATATTTTAATATATTGATAAGTAGATGCGTGGGGGTTACTCTTATTTAAAAGTTAAGTTAAAAATTTGATTTTTTTCCACCAAAAATTATTTATTGATAATTGATTTTTTTTTAAATTGTCTATTGTTTTTAATATTATTATTAAAAATAAAAGAATTAATATTTTTTAGAAATAAAGCTAATTTATTATTAGATTTAATATGAAGTCTCGACTTTTACCTATATTAAATTATTTCTCCAACGTGGTTTCAATTGAGGATAACTAAAAAATAACTTTTTTATTCTACTTTTGTTTACATTTTTTATTAAAATCGAATGATCTGTAAATCATATGGAGGTTATATCAACTCTTATTGAAATAATTAAATACTAATTTATACCCGATTTGGGTTGATTTTACGATTAATGCCAAAATAATGTAAGCCTGAAGATTTTGCTCATAGATGGCAGAAAAGTTTTAACCTCTGCCAAATTTCGAGACTAACATAATTTTAGTTAAGCTTTTAATCGGGCTGTTTTTAAAAATCGAAGAGCATATAAATGTACTTTAAAAATTACTGTATATTATGGCAACAATAACAAATATTACCACAAATGAAAAGTCGTTTATATGGAGAATTAAATTTTGTCTTAAAAGTATGATCTTAAATCAATTGAATGGACTAGTTATTACATAATGGACATGAGAATTAATTCCCAATATAGACAAGTTATTGCAAGTTCAATCGAAAAGAAGATTTACTTTTTATCTTTGAGATTAATCTTATAAATCATTATGTGTGATTCTATATTTAAATTTGATTGGTAACCAATTTGATATGATGATTAATTCATTCCAAAAAAATTATTTTAAAAAATGCCCCCCCCCTCCCATCTTCACATAATATAATCAGAGATCTATTTATCATCAATAATATGATATGTTGTTGAATATTCTGTATTTTTTTCTTAATTAATTACCAACATGTGATGTTTATATCCAGTATTAAAACTATAAAAATATAAATAGCGTTATGTTATTCTGTAATTATTTTTAACAATATATCTTCAAGTTTATAATGGCAGCGTCGGGGAGACAGCCATTGAGAGCTCCTTTTTCTAGAAATAAATTAGAAATTGAAAAAATGAGTCTGATGAGTCCAAAACTACTATACAACCATGCTTCTCAAAACATAAACTTTTTAGGCATCTTCATTATATGCAGTAGGAGTAGAAAATCATTACATATTAAAATCAAAGTAGACAACGTGAAATCACAAAATTCACCTTATTTGACTTTCCTCGGAAGTTATCGATATAATTTACTTCTTTTTGTATTTCCCAAACATAGAAACAATAGTTTCTGTTTTGAGAAGTATAGTTGTATAGTAATTTGGGGTTCATTAAACTCATTAATCATATGCTTATAGAATTTTCCCGATTTATGCGGATGATTTTTTAATATTTTTTTATTTCAAATTTATTTTTGTTAAAACTGCTCTCAATATTGGAATTGGTATGGCTTGCGTTCTCCCCGGTGCCGCTTTATAACGTTTAAGATATATTATAGAATAACATAACGATTACTATAATCAGGGAAATGGAATACATGTAACGAAACTTGGGAAAATTAAAAAAAGATGTAAAATTGCTTCGGACTACCCAAAAATAATATTAAAATTATATTATAGTTTATTATATGTTAAGTTTTTATAAAATTTGCTAAATTTCAAGTCTCAATTCTTTATCCACTTATATTCAGTAATATTGTCAAAGATTAAAACCTTTATAATTTAATCAACTAATAAATTTAAATTTATTTTCTCAATTATTTATCTAAATCTTGCAGTAAGGAAAGCCCATCGTTCCAATACCCTCATTCATAGTTTGCGTGAATTCGAGAGTGAATTATACAATACAAAATACAATTTGCGCTAACGGTTAATGAGTGATTACCCTGTATTCGCAGTTAGCACGAATTCATGACGAACTTTGTCGAAATATATTTTTAGTTATCCAAAAAGTGATTTTTGATATTTTACACTTTTATAACAGAAACATAAATAATAACCTTTGAGCTTTATTATTGGCCTCGCAAATCCATGATCTTTCGTAAAATTGTAATAGGCCAGCCCGGGAGCAATTATGACCTATAAAAAAATTTATAAAGCGGTTAACCAAATCAAACGAAATCTATATTAATATTAACTAATTATTGTCACTGCTTAGTTTTTTTCCGCCATTTTTTTATTTCGTTAATTACTTTTTATTTTAATTCCGCTATTAAACTGTTAAAACACTTACCTTTACCAACGGAGCACCAAAGAATGATATATGTTTCAACGTTAATGCATCTATAATTTCTCATGTCAAAATTTGACCTTGAAACATTTATATAGCTTATAAAAAAAATTTATAAGGCGGTTAACCAAATCAATTACGAAATTTAAATAAATAAAATCACTAAATAATAGTAAAAATAAGGATGATTGCAGCTGCTCTAGTTTTTGTTATTGGTAAGCCACCATTTTTTGTTAATAACTTTTTTTTCTTAATTTAAGCTACAAAGTGATTGAAATTGAAGCACTAACCTCTGCTAATGAACCACTAAAGCATGATGTAAGTTTCATCATTAGTGTTTTCAATCGACTTAGCGTAAAGTTGGTCAAAGTTTTTTAGAATTAACATCGCCTGCTATATGGATTGAAGCACTAACGAACAAAAAAATGGCATATTAATCATCGTCAATATTTTCAATCGTTCGACCAACTTCACGGAGCTTTCAAAATATGATCTTTTTTATTTTCGGTTTTGGCAAATAGCCACTTTTTATTTTGCTTATAACTCAGTAAGGTGTCATTCCGTTGTTGTCCGGATTGAAGATCAATTAATGTGCTACACAATGGCTTAGGTTTCGGTAATTGATCCTCAAGTCGTTCCGTCATCGTCATGGACCTGTTTTGGGATACCTATTTGATTAATAAAAAGATATTTTTCAAAACAGGCATATTTGCTAAGGGGAGAATTTCTGGCCCTCTTCTTTAATGATTGCACATTAGTTCCGGCGTAATATATATTTATATATATACCGTCGATCAAATGTGATCCCAATATTCCGTTTTCCCTGGACAGCAATCGATCATCTTTAGGCAAAATTTTCAAAGTTTGATCAGGTTCATCGTGGTTCGATCTAATAGAATCGTTGAGGGCTAATTTGGTGACTGTCCCATAATCCCTTACATTCTTTTTTTCCGTAAATGTTTTTTTCAAAATACATGTTAAAGATGAAGTTATATCAAAAAACTAAACTATAACTTATGTATATGTTAGCGTCAATGTGTTAGTTTCGGCAATGTACACATTGCCTGATTATTTTAGGGCAATGTGTTAAGGTGGTAGGGAGGGTGAATTAGTTATTTAGGCAATGCACACATTGCCTGGTTTTTTTAGGCAATATATTTTATTTTACAAATTAATAAATTTATTATTTATCTGAGAGATTAATTTATTATTTATTTGATATTAATTTAATATTTATTTGAGAGAAATTTATTATTTATAAATTTATTATTTTTATAATTTATAGATTTTATTGGGTGGGTCTGTTTATCGCTCGGCTAACCACATAATAAATCATTTATTACTAAATATCGCTCGGCTAGTAAATGTCGCTCGACAAACCACATGATAAATTATTTAATATCGCTCGACTGGGAAATATCGCTCGGCTAACCACATAATAAATCATTTATTACTAAATATCGCTCGGCTAGTAAATATCGCTCGATTGGGAAATGTGGCTCGGTTAACCACATAATAAATCATTTATTATTTAAATTACGCTCGGCTAATTACATAATAAATTTTTTATTACTAAATATCGCTCGGCTTATATTTATGTATTAAATTTCCAAACATTTTCCAGTCGGTTTTCACTTTCCTAATATTAATTAAGAATTAATTAGTTTATAAATAAGATAAAGGTTTGGACAGGTGTAAAAAATTATCTATTAGATATTTTAGCTTCAATACTTTTATAAAATTAAAATTGCTCATAACATTTTTTATTTATTAAGGTAAAAGAAATAATATTCTATCCGCTAGATGGCGTCTTTAAATTTTTAATTATAATAATTAAATAATATTTTTGAATGTGTTTAATAAATTTCGCCATATTCTATTAAATATTTTTAATTTTTTTATTATAAAATATAAAAAATTATTTTTGAATGTGTTTAATAAATTTCGCCATATTCTATTAAATATTTTTAATTTTTTTATTATAAAATATAAAAAATTATTTTTGAATGTGTTTAATAAATTTCGCCATATTCTATTAAATATTTTTAATTTTTTTATTATAAAATATAAAAATAATATTTTTGAATGCGTTTAATTAATTTTGCCTTATTGTATTAAGAATTTATATAGGATAATCATAATTATCCAATATTTCTAGAATATCGAATATATTTCATCAATATATATCAGAGTTGTAAACCCCCCTTCTAAAAAATGGGTTCGGGTGAGAGTTCAGTGAAAAATCTCTGAATCCGGTTCAGGGTAGTATAGTTAATTAGTCAAGTTTTATTGACCCTGAACTCGAGCCGTAGTCGTAAAAAACGGCTCAGACTAGTGCGGCTCAATAAGCCGTTTGAGCCGATTCTATATTTAAAAATATTTTATATATTATCAAATTTATAAAGAATTATACAAACTATTATTTTATATATATGATCCCCAGAGTTGTTAAAATACACTTTTTAAATGGATCTAGATGAAAATACACCCATTTTTTAAGTTTTAAATTAAATATAGGGGAAAATAAATCCTTGAAAAAAAACCGGAAAAAAATTCCCAAATAATTTTTGTTTAAATTTTCAAAAATAATTCTGCCGCTAAAATAACGGAAATATTTCTAAAAAATTATATTCAGTATTTTCTGAAAGTTGAGTATTTATTCTCGACGTTTGAGGATTTTTTTAGCATTATTTCTGTTTTAATTCTAAGCGATATAGGGCAATCTCAAAATATGAGAATTGAGAAATCGGTTGGTAGCTTTGATACTTTATAATTTAGTAGATAACATAAAAAGTATAGATTTGTGACATCTTGGAAAGAAAACATGATAGATTTTTATAGAAATAGATGAAAATTATGATTTCAACTTTTGAAAAAAAAGATGGAAACAAATAATATTTTTATTATTTAATTTCTTTTGGGGAAAAAAAGGAAAGGGAGGGAAATACAATTGAAAGTTATGCTATTATGAGAAAAAAAAATATGTAAAAAACGGAAGTTATTAATATTAAAAAAAATAAAACTCAAATTTTAAGATGCCAGCCAGGCGGCAAAAGGATTCAAAAAGTATTAATAGTTAAAAATTAAAATAACATAATATCAATCACAATTCACTTCAAAATAATCATTTATTACACATCATAAATTTTTTTTTCGAATTCATATTCACAATCACAATTCACTTCAAAATATAATCATTTATTTATTACATATCATCAATTTTTTTTCGAATTCATATTCACAATGGAGGATGCTATATTAAGGTTAATATTCATTTACTCTTCATATTTTCTTTACCTATGAAATGATTCACAAAATATAGTCAATTATTTTATTATGGTTTTTACTTTTTATTCAAATAAAGATACATAGGTTGTTACATGCTGTGACCCTATTAAAAAAGGGTTCGAGTTTATTTGCAAAAAATATCTGAACCAGGTTGGGATTCAGGTTCGGTGCCCAGAAAAAACTTAATTTAGTTAAAATAACAGATACAAATTTTTTATTAAAATTAATCTTATATTTAGTTTAAGAATTCACCGTAAAAATATTTATCATTTGGAGTTCTGGTGACCATCATTTAAAAAAACAATATGGAACTATATAATATCATTCTAGGGCCATAATTTAATAAAATTTGACAAATCGCTGTTTTTATTAGGAAATTAGACTGGTAGGGTAGTTTTTGAATTGTTTTAAAAAATATTAATATAAATATTAATTTTACCCAATGTTGTGTGCCGACTCTGAATATTCGCGCAAGGGTTCAGACAGCACTCACATTTTCATACATCCAAATTGGAAATCAAAGATTTTGGCAATTTTATTTGATATCAAGAAATTTTATTTAGTCAATTTTAATAAAACCTTGATATGGTTACATTTTATAAAAATCTTATTTGATTTAGGGTTATCTTCGTTCTTTTTATTTACTCAAGATTCATCACTTGAAAAAAAATTAATTTTTTCTATTTTTGCAGATTAAAAAGAGATCGAGCTATGGCCTTAATAGAAAAAAATAAATTAAGAGAGCCACAACCAATAACGTTAAAGAAAATATCAAAAGATTCTATAAGTGAAAAAATTATACAAATGGCGCAATCTCCAATCTTAGAAAATTATATTCCGCAGGAAATTGAATCTGATGGTAATTGCTTTTACCGGGCGGTTTCAATGTCGTTATATAAACCACAAACACTTCATATTTTTTTAAGACTGATAACGGCAATAGAAATAATTATAAATCCTCAATATTATGATAAAAACCATCCTGATTTTTTCCAAAACTATAAAATTAATCCAAATATATGGGTGAATGAGTATTATGAGATACTCGATTCGGCTCTAAATATAAATGTTTGGGCTGAGCAAATTCATATATGCGCATTAAGTGCTGCTCTTGGCAAACCAATGCCCATCAAATTCATTAAAGGCCTTTACCGATATCCTTTATGGCAGGGGTGTAAGCCAGAGTTTAAAGCCTCATATTTTAATCATGTGGACATCTACCATATGTCCAAATGATATATTTAATATTAGAATCAATCACTTTGTATCTCTCATACCAAATAATTATATTAATACATTAACAAAAAAACCCCAACTGTCCAACAATATCATAAAAGATATATCATTTTCGATAGAAAATATTCTAAAAAAAACCATGTAGCGAAGATATCCGATTAAAATCTTTACCATTTTTTTTAAACAATATTATAGCCGAAGGAGGTCATCCAAACTATGGGTTTTTTTTAAACATTGTAAAATCCATAAAAATTTTGCTTTCTCCCAATAATATATTGCACGAAATACCTTTAGGTATAAAATATAATATGTATTTTTTAATTTCTAATAATAATTTTACAAATTATAAGAATAAAAATTTATATATAGATGATTGTGGGCCATGGACAGGCTCAAAATCAAGCTCAAGAAAATTATATTATAATATATATAATGATATTGTTCAAGGTCCGTATATTTTTAAAGATGGCCTATTTAGGCAGGACACTCATCTAGGTGGTTCTAGAATTTTTAAAAAAATAGAACCTCAACCTTTAACCAAAAATATAATTGTTCTTTATAAATACTATAGTATTTTAAAGAGAAGTAAAGAGTATAAACGCCGAATTTTAAAAATTAATTTTATTGAAAAGCCTAATTACGATTTCAAAGATATATATTTAGTTGAATATATAGGACAATGGCCAGGTCCCGCTTGCCATGGGAATTCCAAAAAGATTGTAAATCCTTATGTACGGACTTCAAATCAGTTATTATTAAACATTAGAAATCAAACATGTCGCAATATTTATAATAATTATATATTTCAAAAAGACCCAATTAAACCAAAAAATTTAAAACAAATTTATAAACTTAAAAAAGATACAAAAGTACCTCTAAATTTTGCGATTAATATTTTACAAATTACTAATGATCTAAATATTTCGCCATTTATCCAATCAATAATTCACATCAAAGAGAAAACACCATCGATAATTTGTTATACTCATTTTATTATTAAAACTATTAAGTTTTTGTCAAACCAATCTGACTTCTGTATATTAGGCGTTGATAAAACATTTAATTTGGGTGATATACCTAACTGCTATAGTATTTAAACATAGCAGTTTTTTTGCTATATATAAAAAATAAATTTCAAAAAGTAATTTATGAACATGTTTACATTCCCCTAAAAAATAAAATAATAAATTGTTTATGGACAAATAACAACTGCGAATCTATGAACCATGTTTTTAAATCATATACAAACTGGAAACAACGTCCTTTAAAAGAATTAATCGAAAAATTTAAGGATATCACAATGTTACAAGAAAAAGAATTTAAAAGATCCTTCTCAGGAAAAGGAGAATATTTTTTAAATAATGAATATCGCAATTATTTAATATCCGAATCGATAGATTGTCATGATACATTAAATA